AAAATTACAGTTAACTTTAATTAAAATTATTAATACATCAAAATATAAACTAATAATAGAGAAAAAAAATCATACCTTAGAAAAAATATAAACCAAATGCAATAAAATTTCATTAGAGTAATGAAATAGGAAAGAGATTCAAAAAAGACACAGAAAAGAAGGAAAAGGGGAACACCGGGGAAGGGTAAGTGGAGTAGGGCAATGATATTTACATATTACGAAGTGTGAACGTCTTTGTTAGTCTCAGACAATACTAAATATATATAAAAGAAAGAAGTGTCGCATACCATAAAAACAAGACTCAATGCAATCTTAATAAATGACAAAACCACGTGAGTCTCATTCCTATGACATGCGAGATTGCTTTTGTTTAATAAATAATTTTTTAAAGAATAAAAAAGCTCTATTTTACATTAGTTGGTTTCCATGGTGCCTCTTTGTAAATCTGGATCTGGATCCAGATCCCTTCCTGTTGTGGAGAGAAAAGCGAAAAAGATAGAGTGAAAAGAGAATAAGAGGAGTTAAACATGAAATAGCAAGAAGTGAGGAGTTAGAGTAGAGGGAAGAGAAGAGTTAGACATGGGGCGGAGGAAAAAGAGAAGTTGAAATATGAAAGTTGAAAAAAAAAATATTAGGCATGAGAGAAAAAAGAGGAAAAAATTGGGAGAAAAGAAAAAATTGGCTTAAGTTAATTTTATGTAAAAAAAAATTTGTCATTTTTTTCTCTATAATCTGAGGGTGTTGTACCTAAATAACGTGGTCCTATGATTACATGATAAGTGTCTTACGTATATAAAGCATTCAACTATTTTCAAAATGTTTATATTATTTGATTTGGGGCTTTTAAATATGAATATCCTCGACATTTTCACTACTCACCGATGAAACCCTGCTTCACCTTCTGCGTCTCTACTAAATTACCATTCCTTCTAGTTTGCGGAGAAAATAAAATTCAATTAAAAAAACTCTTGCATAATGCGTAGAATTCACTCCACCTATTGAATTCAGACAGCCATGATTTTTTAGCTATAGCATTAGTACTGGATGAGCAGTAAAGTACTCATTCCAATCATTGCACCGAATTGCAATTAGGACCTGCCGGATGGTAGAGAGATACCTCCTCAACAATCAACATACAATAACTTTTAGCAGTAAAAATTCTTTTAAGCGAATCTCAAGTTAGTTAAGTGAAATTTCAATGCTTTCTGCTTAAGTGAAATCAAAACTAAATGACCTGTTGTCACCTAAATTGGGGAGAATCCGGATCAACGAAAGACAAGAAAAACTTTACCAGCGTATTAGTTAAGCTGTGCAAGCAAGCATAGGCTTTGTGAGTTGCGAGTAGAGAAGAGGAAGATGAAGCAAAAGAAACAGAGAAAATGGGTAGCATCACTTGGCATCAGCTTTGATAGTATTAAAGGAACCTTGCCAGTTTAATGCAAACATAACAAGGCATGAGTTGAAAAGATACAGAAAATGAATGATCCTTCTGTTGCCATGTGGGAAGGAAGCTATGAAATTTGAAGAGAAAAGAAAGGCGAAAGAACCTTGCATTTCTCAGTGAATGTCAAAATCGTTGCTTTGTTACTCTTGGATGACACCCTCAACGCATTCAATTAAATTATTAAGCGAATAAAAGGAAGGAAATAAAGAATGCAACACAGTGGAATAGCATTAAGGGTAGGGCATGATTGAAACCCTCAACACAACAACTGAAACAATCGAAAAAAGAGATAAAAAAAAAAAAAAAAAAACCTCAAAGATACAGGTGTCTGGCAATTTTCACGATTTGGCCAACAAACAAACCCCTTTCATCTTTGATTATCTTCGCAAAACACTCAACCGTACCTCTTTCGCTTCCAAACAACGCTTCCCTTGTTCTTGTCTTTCGTGATTTGACTAACTTCGATTGAGTCTCGTCCTCAAAGCAGCCTCCATTGTTGGTCACTGCGGCAGGTGATGAACAGGGAGAAGTAACGAAAAAACATTTTTACTGGAGAATTAGGGTTAAAAGAGAAGATAAAATTATTTACTGAAAAGGATTAGGTTTACAAGGTTAATTTTTTTTAAAAAAAATTAGTAAGGACCACTCTGCAATATTTATATTTAAAAGTCCCAAATGTAAAACAATATAAACAATTTTTTTTTCATCAACAATTTAATTAAACACGAAAATTGTTGTGCTTGTAATTTCTCTTAAAACATAGTAGGAAATACCTAGTTTAGTTCTCTCTTTATTTTCTTATCTTTAACGTTTGAACAATTATTTTTTATTTCATTTTGATTATTATTTTATAATACATATAAATAATTAAATATATTTTTTAATTTCACCCTTAACAATTAATTAATGTGTGTTTTCAAATAAATTAATTAATATAGAGACAGTGAGAAAAATTTAACTACTAATTTTTTACGTGTATGTTAAATAATTAAAAGTAATAATATTTTTTATTAAAACATATATAAAAGGTAGTTTTTTAATTTTTAGTGAGTTAGATTTTTTTTACCCCACGGTGTCCTGTCCTATTACAATTAAAATTGCTTCTAATAAAAAATACTTATGAAATAATTATTAAAAAAAAGTGAGTTGGGAGAATTGGTTGTTATTTTCTAATAAAATTTATTAAAAATTTTATAAAAATTAAAATATTGATTATAACTTTTAACTCTTGTTTTACAATCTTAAATGATAATAATAAATGAATACAATAAATATATTTAAAAATATTAAATAAAAAATAAAAAATTATTTAGTTTCTTAATTAAAATACTGTCTAAAAATTAAAAAAATGTAATCAGAGTTTTGTTAATCTTTAGTATTGAGTTTATAATCTATAAATATAATTTTTTTATGAAAAAAATACAAATTTATTATATTAAAATTATAATAATATAATAAATATGCTTTAATAAGATTTAATATTATTAATTGTTTATTCTGAGCTTTTTAAGGTTGATGCAACATTTTTCATATAACAATACACTCTTATAAATTTATGATTTTGTTAATGTTAATCATTAAGATTAATTTTAAATATATAAAAATAATATTTTTAAATAGCTATTTATTATATTTTTATCTTATTATTATTCTATATAAAATTGAATTAATTTTGAAAATTGGATTTAAAAGTAATGTTAATATTTTTCTAATTTTGAATACACCTTAATATAATAATTTTTTCTGCAGCCTTAATATAATCTTTAATAAACACGTACTGTTTACTCCATCCATTAACTACACTCAGTTACTAACCAAAAGGACAAGGACAAGGTAGTTGATTGAAACCAAACTTAATCATGGTTACCACTTTTATCATTGTTCACAGGCCACTTTGTTACACGGATCGCGATCACTTTTATAATTGTTCTCAGGGCATGTCTTACATTTCCATGATGTTAAAGTCACGGTTTCTCATATAACACGGACATCAACCATTAATTACCATAATTTGACTAACAATTTTTAAAACTATATAAGGATATATAACAAAACTTTACATAATATCTTTTTATTAAAAAACATGTAATATTATAATTATAATTATTATTATATTTTAATAAAAACTTATTATTTATTATTAGTTCTAGTCGACTCAAAGCAAAAACATTCTATAAGAACTGTTTGTTCTTAAGGGGTGGAACCACATGTTCTTTATTGGGTAAACGCATCTGTTACGGTGGTTTCCGAATTTACCAAAAAAAAAATCTGTGAATTTGGCTCCTCTTTGGATCCAAAAGAGTGGTCGCATCTGAGTAACACTTTTGCATGTTATTAAGTGGTGAGAAACGAGAATAGAAAACGTATTAAAAAATATACTAATAATATAATTTTTAATACGTTTTCTATTATTAACTAAAAATTATAAAATTAAGTAATTCTTTCTGTATGCTAAAAAGAATGGTTAAGTTTGTATTCGGCTTTTCCTAAGTTTGTATTCGGCTTTTCCCAATTCTTAATGAATATTGTTCCCACGTAAGAAGGATTTTTTTTTTCCAAAGAATATTTTATTCTGCATTGTAGGGATGGTGGATCACACTGTAAATTTACAGTGCATTCGACATCCGTCCCTATTCAGTTGGAAGTTTGGCAGCAGCTAAGTGACTACGACAACAACAATAACGAACATTTCCTTCTTTTTATGTTTGTTATTTGCAACAAAAGAAGCACCAAACAAAAGACCAACAAAAACAAAAGCCTGTTCCCTCCGCTCCTTTTTTTTGTTTCACCATCTTCTTTACTTCTTCTTTGTCTCACACTCGTCACTTTTCACCCCCACAACCTCAACATCAACACACACTTTTTCTTTCTTTTTTCTTTCCCTTGCAACGGCAAGTTTTTAAGATATATGCTTGTTTTAAGAGCTCAAACATACAATATCTGATCCTTTCAAAATATGGAACAGCTTGTCAACTTCATCATTCGCCCTCCGAGGTATCATCTTTTCTTCTTCTTCTTCCTCTCTTCCTCTCTGTTGGGATAACTTTTTCAATCAAAGTCTTCTTTTTTTGTTTTTTTATCTTCACATTCCCAGGTGGGTATCTGCTTATGCTTCTTGTTGTTTTGAATGGGAATATGGGATGTAATACTAAGTTTTTGTTTTTAGTCTTTGCAAGCCTCAAGCCAACTTGGCGTAATTGGTTTTTAGTAGAATTGTAACACCCGTGTCTTCCTTTTCCCGAAGGAAAATGCTAGAGTAAGCAAGATATGATTATATTCATTGTTTTCATTTCCTTTCCTTCTCCATGAGAATAATAGATTTATATCTATATTTTGGTGTGGTGTTTGGTTATACTGTTAACTTGGTTTGTTGTTTCTTTGCTTTGAAATTAGAGATCTATGTTTAATCTCCCATAAAAGTCTTACTTTTCTGTGATGTGAATGTTTGACCCTTTATCTAGATTATAAACACTGATGCCCATGGCAAGCTGGCACTGCTATTTTCTTCCTTTCCATGAAAACATTTGAAAATAATTTTTCTTTATACTTACTATTATTATAACAAGTTACTATTGCCTTTTGTGTTTTGAAAATGTGATCTGCTAATCATGTAAAAATTATCTTCTGATTCTCGAGAACATTAAATATTTAAATTGTTCCTTTGGCCTTTTGGATGACAAATAAGAATAAATGGATCCCGTCTTTAAAAATATATAGATGATTAAGAAAGGAAATGGAGATATCATGTTTATTGAAATCTTTTCCAGAATTATAACGAAAAGCACATGCTTCAAGTATGTGAGATGCCTAAGGTATTTCTAATTATGCATTTGAATGTTAAATGTCTGTCACAGAATAACTGCAAACTGAAAGTCATCTTTCCGCAATTATGGCCTAAGATAAACTGACATTGACTTCTATTATCCAGATGGCTCACTAAATTTTGTGTGCTATTTTCATTTTAAATTTAGCTTAAATTATTGTGATATTATGATTGTTTCTGTTACTGGCATGCAGAGCTGAATATGATCCAAAAAGTGATTTATTGGATTATGAGTTCATGCTAAAAGGGAAATGGTTTCAACGAAAGGACGTGGAGGTAAAGTTAAACATAGATTCATTACGTCAGTAAAAGCATTGGATGTCGGAAAATGCCTTAAAAGATTGATTTCAGTTTATTTTATAGTTCATGACTAAATTGTCAAACCATATGCTCTAAAATCATTCCATTTCATAATTTGTTCCAACTCCTAAGTTATTTGATTGCTCTTTCGGAGAACTGTCACGTGAAGTATTTCTGTTCTAGGATGCCAAAAGGAATGATTTGTTAGCCTATTTAAAAAACATAAGTTTTAACACACAAAATGTTTGCATGTGATGTTCTAATTTTATATACCAATTCAATTGCAAAGTTCTTGTTGATGTTTCTTTTTTTTCCCCCATCATAAGCCTTCTTTTGTTATTAAGTCATATTCTATTTAGTTCAGTTGATGACCTGAATTATCAGTCTGTCATGTAATATTTGATATTTTGCAGATAAAAAATAGTCGAGGTGATGTTCTTCAATGTAGTCATTACATGCCTATCGTCAGCCCTAATGGAAAGCGTCTGCCATGTGTAATATATTGCCATGGAAACAGGTCACTCTGTGACATTATGCATTTGTTTTTGTCCTTTAGACATTAGGTGTAGACTGTCATCGAGTAAAAGTATATTGTTGAAGTCTCAAGTGAGTGTTTTGGGTGAACATCATTGATAACAACTGATAAGAACTTGAGAGAACCAAACCACATTCTAAGGCCTTATATATCCGACACTAAAATCACATATTTTCATTGTGGGACTTGAGTCTCATACCTTGCAATCAAGATCCTAACATCATTGAAGTTCCACATCAGCTCCATGTATGACTAAATAAGAGTTTATAAAATTTAAAAAAATCCTCACCTTATGAGCTAACTTGTGTGGTTGAGTTAGATTTAAACTCCAATTTAAGATATACAATGAAAATATATAACGGATAATTCAGCATAAAAAGAGAATTGGAGAAGTAATAAACAAAACATTAAGTGTACTTGTGTAGTTAGTTGGGTTTTTATGTCTTAGAAGTTTGGCTGTTGGTTTGAACTCATTTTAATCTATAAGGCTCTTCTTGTCCCCCTTTATTTCAAACATCAGTGTCTAAACCACAATTCACTTTTCTAGATTTTATTATGATTTTTTAGATATTCATAATTCTCATATCTTTTGAGGTTCTTTGCTGGTGGTTGCTTGTTTGGTATTGCATTTTATTGATTTCAATTTCGTATGGTCTTTGCTCATTTTGTGCAATGTTTATGGCAGTGGATGTAGGGTTGATGCCAGTGAAGCTGCTATGATTTTACTTCCTTCAAATATTACTGTTTTTGCTCTCGATTTCTCAGGATCGGGTGTATCTGGCGGAGAGCATGTAACTCTAGGTTGGAATGAAGTAAGTGCTTGCTCAATAACGGTTTGAAACATATCATATCTAGTTATGTCAGTTTCATTGATGCAATGTGATTTATCTCTAAGAGTGGTTAATTTTCTCCATCCCTACCATGTTATAATCACATTTTAAACAGGCACATCCAAGAGCTAGTTCCTCCATGCTTTGGAGGTGATTATTATTGATAATATAATGACACAACTTGCCCACTTTAGATATCTAGGATCCATCTTCCAAAGTAGTAGGTAGGTTGATGAGCATGCAATACTTGGTACTGAACATGGGTGGATGAAATGGAGAAGCAAACAAGGTATATTTTGTGATTACAAAAGTGCCAAAAAATGCCATCAAGAAAATCCTACTGGGTAACTATAAGACAATCAGTGCTTTATGGTAGTGAATGTTGCCTATTGGGCATTAGAGTTTCAAGAATAACAAAAGAAGAAAAAAAGTATAGCAGGGATGGGAAGTTCTAGTGGTGGATGAGTGGACATACAAAAAAGATAATCAATATTAAGAGTGAAAAAGTTAGGGCAGCACCTATTGAGAAGCTAACAAAAACATACCTAAGGTGATTTGGAGATGAACATTAGAGACTCTAGTTGAAAAAGTGGATAAAATGGAGAATAATGCAATTTAAAAGGGTATAGGAAAACCACATAAACTTGCATATTCGTAAATTCAATCTAAAAATATTATCAACTGGTCCAAATTAATTTTGGCAGCATGTGGGAGTACTATATAAGTGGTAGAAATATGAAACTTGTCACATGCTTGAAGCAGATACTTATGATCCTTGTTTCTTTTTAATAAATTGCTTATATCATAGTAAAAATGAAATGCTAGAGTTTGTTCTCCACTGGGAATTAGCATATGAATTACTACCATTTGCTTCTTTGCCATTTTTTTTATGAAGATTATTTAACATTCTTGGCTGTTTTCAGAAGGATGATCTGAGGGCTGTGGTCAACCATCTGCGGGCAGATGGGAATGTCTCTCTGATTGGCTTATGGGGACGCTCAATGGGTGCTGTGACTAGGTAATTTTCATCATTCACTTCATTCAATCTTACATTTCAAATGTGGTTCCAGAAATGTTTTCTATTTAGTGGTCATGTATAGGGTTATAGCAAGATACTGTAATTTGGTCCATTATTACTCAGATCTTATAGTTAGTTGTTACTAAGTTGGTTAGTTTGTTAAAGGAAAGAAACTACATTGTTGACCTTATTTTCGTGATCCCCTCTAAATGACAGCCAGCATGGTTCAAGATGAATATAGGTAGAAAGACTTTGTTCATTAAGATTTTTTGTGTTCGTTAATGATTATATCATTGGAAACAACAATGAAGGGATCACAGTCCCTGAGATAATAGCTGAAGACAACCTTAAATAGAAAAAGGAGGTGTATGGCATATCTATCATTATCAATTGTGCTTTTCATGTATGTGTTTATGCCTTTCTACATTAAAAATTTCATATCATTTCCTACCAAAACCACATTCTCCTCTTTAAAAGTGTACTACCCATATGCTCCTTAAATTTTAAAGTCAAAATATAAACTATTTGATTGTGTAGCAATTCAATCTTAACAATGTATTTCACTTTTCTTCTTTCCATTACTAATGTCATTTCTTGCAGCCTTATGTATGGTGCCGAGGATCCTTCAATTGCAGGGATGGTTTTAGACAGTCCCTTCTCTGATTTGGTTGATTTAATGATGGAACTTGTAGATACGTACAGATTCCGTCTGCCAAAATTCACGGTGAGTGTATATTTTTGGATGAAAATGAGAATACTTTTTATAGAAGTAATTGAAATCAAACTTTTCATCTGTTGTCTCATTTCATATTTTAATGCTTCTTTACATTGAGGTTATTAAAATCACCTTCAGTCTTAGTCAATGATCTGTTACCACATATTATGATCAAAAGTTTGATTGGGGGAGGTTTCATCTTAATACCAATGAAGATCCCTATCTATCCAGGCTGGAATTTAATAGCTTTTCTAGACATCAACTTTTTCTTTGATATTTCTTTTTTCTTTCTAGAAATTAGTCTATTGGGTCCACATGACAAGGCAGTTGTAGAAATGCTGTTTTTGACCCACACTTACTGTTATGCCCATTTTTTCTTCTTGTTACAGGTGAAGTTTGCAATTCAATACATGCGAAGAACAATCCAGAAGAAGGCAAAATTCGACATAATGGACTTGAACACTGTTAAGGTTATTTTTCCTTTTGTTTTTTTTTTTTTTGTAATGAAAATATTTATTTTTATTTTCCTGGTTGTATGTAATGATTGATTGATTGATTTTACAGAAAAATAATTGGTGAGCTTTCTTTGTTTTCTTTCAGCATTATTTCTGTGATACAACTCCAGTTTAAATCTAGCATCTCTATCTGAACTTGGTTAATAAAATTTTATTTTTCAGCTTGAACTTGATAAATTTATACTCTTGTTGAGACTTTGTTCTCCTTTTCTTTGTGGAAATAGTGTACACTTTTTACTTTGTCAGTCATATGATTGTAATTTTACTCAGCAACTCATAAATATATCACTAACATGTTTTTTCTGAATTTCTTGTAAGTTTACTGAATTAATTACTTATCATAAGTGGAGGAACCTATCCCAGTCAACAAACTAAATGCTATAGTTGTTCATGCATAATTTTCCCTTTTGAAAGGCGTTAATCTGTTGGACACAGTGCAAATTGTTCAGGAAGTCTGGGAGGACAGAGGCAAAATAACCAAAATGGAGTGTACAATTTTTTGTCTTCATGAACATATTAAAAATGGTTTTATGGACAATGAAAAGTGTGGAAATTTTCTTGTGTATTTTCCCCTTCTTATGTAATAATATTTCTTTTTCTATAAAAAAGAGATATCTTTAGTGGGAAAAAATGTGCACTAAATAGTTTTATAGGAAGTATTTATTTGTGAGAAAATTTACAAAATTTCATTTCCTTTGGTTTTTCATACTTCCATATTTTTCATTGGATTCATTCAATATTTGTTGCATTATAGGCAGCAAAATCTTGTTATGCTCCTGCTCTACTAGGGCATGCCATTGATGATGATTTTATACGTCCTCATCACTCAGATCATATACTTGAGGCTTACATGGTAAGATTTTTATAAGAAAATGTTTATTCTTAAACTAAACTGATTTACAGTGCTGAACTTTATTTCTTCCAGCTCTGTTGGGTTAGACTAAGTCTTGTCAATTCGTAAACCTCAGTTACCTTATAGCATGATTGCTTCTTTCAGAATTATAACTAATGTCTTCTAGGTAGTTTCTCAGAAAAGGCATATTATGTCTTCTACTAATTACCATCTTTATATACCACGTGTTTTTTGTTTTGTCTTCTCAGTTCTCACTTATTCTTTGTTTTGGATTTTGAATATGATTGTTTATGCTTTGTAGGGAGACAAAAGCATAATTAAATTTGAGGGAGATCACAACTCTTCCCGTCCTCAGTTTTATTTTGATTCCATAAACATCTTTTTTCACAATGTTTTGCAACCTCCAGAGGATGAGTTTGGGGAATCATTTTTTGATATTATGAATAATTACTTTGGTAAGGTAAATTTACTGTGCATCTCTTTGGTTCCATTTTGGTCAAATTGCCAAGTTCCATTATTGAACATTTTTTTAAATAAATGTTATTACACAGGATGTTTGGAGATCTATGCATGAATTTGACGGAAGTAATGAACCATCACTTGAAAACAAAGGCATGACTCAAATACCTAGTGAATCTTCACTATTCCTTCTGCATTGGTATCCATGAGGATTTGCGTTTGGTAATCTCACTGCTAATTCAAATCTCTTGTTTATTTCCTTGTTAACTGCAGAACCATCAACAAGCAGTACCGTTGATGCCATTAATCAAGTCTGTTCAAAAAGATCAATGAGAAGGATGGAGGTTTGTATTTATTTAAATTATTTTCTCTTAGTGTTCTGATGAACTCAGAATAGCAACAGCTTGCTGAGAAAATATTCACGTTATAAATAACATGATTTTATTTATTCTTTGCGTGTGTTTGGTGGGTAATCATTCCTAGTCCAGCTAGAAGCCCCCATACCAGAGTTTCAACTTTCAAGAATGTAAATTATTCAAATGTCTAGCGTCAGATTAAGACAGGAAAATAGTTAGTAATGGATAATAATAAACAAGTTTAATCAGAGGTGTGAGTTGACAGGTATTGGTTAGGCTATCAAACTCAAAGGAACTAGAGTAACTGATTTTGCATGATATTTTTGCACAACAGGCAGAGAAATGCAATGATTTTTCGTCATCTTCTACAATGATAAGTTTTGAATTTTCAAACGGTCATCTCCACGATCCCCTTGTTCCAACCGATCTAGATGATGACCGGTACGTGGAATATCAACTCAATGACCTTGCAGGATTTCCATCTAGTGCAGAGGAAGAACAAAGAGTGAGTTAATTTGTTGGCTATCACATATTTTTAAAATTTGAATGCATAATGGTATACAACGAATGTTGTGTAATTGATTTTTATGAATTTGTCCATATCACTCAGATGTTCATGGAAGCAGTGACAGAGTCACTGAAAGACAGAAATCCACCAGTAGAACAACCACCTGTCAGCAGTTCTAATACCGTGTCTGTAGGGCCATCAGATAAAGATGACTCGCATACTTCTTCACATGAAATTTCCAAAACTATGGATACAGAACCTTGTTTCGTCAAGCGCAGTGAACATTCAACAGCCTCAACGCTTTCCATTGCATCTGATCTATGTGGACCCTTGAAAGCTGAGTCAAATTCCCAAGATCTGGCATCTGAGCCAAGTCCAGTACCAAGTATTTCATCAAACAAAATACCAACACCACAATTGGACACTTCATTAGTCACTGATTCTGGCAATACTGATAGTACTTCTGCTAGCTTACAAAGTTCATCAGACACTGACATTTCGCACAACACAAAAGCTACATTGACTGTTGTTAAGAATCCAACAGGCCATGTCATAAATGGCTTATTGCGTCGTTGGGATTTCAAATTTTTCAGAAACAGTCACAACCGATAAGAGTCTCATTTATCCTCTATTGGTTAGACATTGCTTTTGTAACCATAAAAATATATAGAGTTTGTAAAGTGCTCAAAAAAAGAAATAGGTCGCTTGTACAAGTGTATGTTTAGATTATCATCTAACAATTCATCTATTTTCTTTCACTGAGAGAGAATTGTGTTTTCACCCCTTTGAACAGAGATTTCTGGTGTCTCCATTAGTGACTCATGCTTGTGCATGATTTTCGTAATCTTCCTTGGATGCATTTTTATTTTTATTAACAAAGATTGGTGTAATTGTATCCAACTACTACTACAGGGTGGCTTTCTTCAAGTTCTTTTTGTTAGGCTTGCATTTATGAATATCTTGGAGTCGAATTAAATCTTCCAGTAAATGGCTCTTTATTAGTTCTAAATTGATTAAATTATACAAAACCTTCATTGAAATGTTTAGTCAAGCTATGCAATTTAAGTATTTGGATAATATAACACTTTTTAAGGTTGTAAATATTATTTGCACTAATATCTGCCTGTTTATTCTAGAAGTAGCTATGGTCTCAAATTGCGTTTATGACAGCAAAAAATTATAGCCTCGGTGTAAAGTGCCTCAACAAGTGGAAATATTTGGATTGCTGAAAGAAATTTGGGTCTGATTTCCCTTTTATATAATTTTCTATGTAATTCATAGAGTAGTTTAAATTTTTTCTATAAATAATATTTATATTAATGTTGAAGTTATTAACATAAAGGGTTATAATATTTGCACAACAAATGTTTACAACAATGAATTTATTTTTCTCTCTCTATCACACTATCCATTTTAACTAGATAAAGCTAGACAGAGTAAGTAGTTCCATAATGTTGACAAAAAAAAAAGGTGGTTCCATAACAATCAGGTAAGCATAAAATCTGGAGTAGTAAGCAACGGTATCCCTCATTCAATTGAGGCATGAGCAAAAACAAAATATAAAGCATCTCCTTCACTAGGAATTTGACTAAAGGTACGTCACATCAGGGAATTTATCCCTTTTATAAGACCTAGCCTTGTTATTGTACAGTTTTGCCTCTAATATGAATAGTTAGAAGAATTTTACGATAGAATACACTCACACATTATATAAATCCACAACCACTCTAACTAGTTTTACATAGGCGTTTAAAATGTTGTTAATTATATAATGTATAATGTTAACACTCGATTCCAAATTTAAATACTTGTATTATTTAATAACTTTTTATAAAATATAAATTGATCAATTTAACTATTAAATTATCTTATGTTATCTCCATTATTATGTATATAAGATTTAAAATAATTTAAATATTTGTAAGTATATTATCTAAAATTTTATTTTAGTTATATATTTTTAAAATATATAACACCGTTGAAATAAAAAGACGTGAGGGATCTATTTATTTTATTTTTATATAAAATTTTAAAAATAGATCTATTTGATAAAGATCTTCAAATTAAGTGAATAGATTAATCTTGTATTTAAAAAAAAAAAAAAAAAAAAAAAAGGTTATCCAGTGATGTTTGTTTGTTTAAACTTTAGTTTTTAACTAGAAGCCACTTTAAATTTCAATGAATTCATGTTGAATAAAATAGATCTACTTAGATGAATAAAATTGTTTAGCCTTCATTTTTTATTCATTAGATTTGAAACTTGAAGAAAGAAAAATAAATTTCTCGTCACTTAAACTAAATAGATATTATCACTTTATTAAAATTAATATTAATGCTTGTCTATATCACAGTAAATTTATACAACAATTACTACATATCAACCTCGGGAAAACTTTGTTTTCACTCAATTCATGCGATGGTTTTTTTCGTAATTTTCGTAATATTGACAACTATTTGAATGGATTTTTTAAATTAATTTTGACATATCATTAGTATATTTCAATTATTTTTTCTTTTACTTTTAAATTATTTACGTAATATGGCATGTAATGTTTTGTATAAGGTGGCTTCATCTATTTGGTGTCGACTTATCAATCAGAAAATGGGGGGAAAAATCAACAATTTATTATTATTATTATGGGTTTGGCTGTGTGACGAATGAAAACGAAGCATGGCGCACGTGTGTGAGTGAATTTCGATTTTCTGGCTTTATTAGCGTAAGTTTTTACGGATTCGGTTGATGACGTGTGTCCGTTAATCACAACGGCGTGAAGATCAGGAACCAACAACCTACGACTATTCTCACTCGCATTCTCAGTTCAGTTCTACAGTGATCTCTCTCTCTCTCTCTTGTTCCTTCTTTCTTCTCTGTGGGGTAATCCAATCCCATGGCTTCCATTGCTTTCAGAAACCCAAATTCTAAGCGTCTTCTCTGTTTGCATTTCGTATCTGCTTACCATTCAGTATCTCGTGGAATTTGCACCATATCCCAAAACTGCAATGCACCTTCATTGGATCTTGTTTCTCTACGGAGATCCATGGCCACTTTCACTCGAACGTACGCAACACACTCTTTTTCCAATGTGTTATTTGTCTTGCTTTTAATTAATGCCTATCTATGCAGGTGGATATTGATGATTAACTTACGTACATGCAGCCATGCACGTATCATTTAATCACATGAAGTGGAGGTGGTTATATATTGTGTTTGTTTTTCATTGTTGATGTTTTTTTTCCGCAGAAAGCCCCATCTTAACGTGGGCACAATTGGGCATGTTGATCATGGGAAAACCACATTAACTGCAGCAATTACCAAGGTTTGAGTTGATTTATGGAGAGGAATTCTACTTTTTCAATTTCTTTTGGGCGCTTAAACTTTGGACAATACTTAAATGAAATGAAAATGGATTGATTTTGTTGAACAGGTGCTATCTGAAGAAGGTAAAGCCAAGGCCATTGCCTTTGAGGAAATAGACAAGGCTCCTGAGGAGAAAAAGAGAGGAATTACAATTGCTACAGTAAGAGATAGGCCCTCTTTGGATGATACAAAACAAAATGTCTAAGTATTAAAATTTTGTAAACTTCTCTTGATCTTCTTATCTTAATCTTGCAGGCTCATGTAGAGTATGAGACAGCAAAGAGGCACTATGCCCATGTTGATTGCCCTGGACATGCAGACTATGTTAAGGTAAGCTGCTTAGCTGGAAACAGACTATGTTAAAGCATCCCAAAGACCAGCGATATTATTATTATTATTATTATTATTCCTGGGTCCATTTTATTGTGACTCTAGTGCTTTTCCTTCTATATTGAATATATATACATGGCATTACTTTGAAGAATGAATTATCTTATTTGAGCTTGATTAATGCTCTTGTCTGTCTTCATGTGTGTATGGACTCTGTCTTCACTTGATTTATTTGGCGAAATTACAGAACATGATAACTGGAGCTGCACAAATGGATGGCGGAATTCTTGTGGTTTCTGCTCCTGATGGGCCAATGCCTCAAACAAAGGAACATATACTTCTTGCTCGTCAGGTTGGTACTTCATTTTGTTAATATGGAAAGGTGAAACTCAGTTTTTATAAAATCTATTTACATACCATACCAAAAAGGTCAGTTCATAAGGTGTTTTGTTTTCCTGTGTCAGGTTGGTGTGCCATCACTGGTCTGTTTTCTGAATAAGGTTGATGCTGTAGATGACCCAGAGTTATTGGAACTTGTGGAAATGGAGCTTCGGGGTATGAAGAGTTAGCTACTTAGCTTATAGTTTTATTTAAACGGGAAAAAAAATACGTCTACCAGTTATCAAAATGTTTTTTTTTTTCAATCTAAATGGATGTGCATCCTTTGACGAACAACTTTTTTTGCAGAACTTCTTAATTTCTACAAATTTCCTGGGGATGAGATCCCAATTGTACGAGGTTCAGCCCTGTCTGCATTGCAAGGGACTAATGAAGAACTTGGAAAGAAGGCTATCTTAAAACTAATGGATACTGTGGATGAATACATTTCTGATCCTGTGCGGCAGCTGGACAAGCCTTTCTTAATGCCAATAGAAGATGTTTTCTCTATTCAGGTAGATACAGAGGTCATATGTATATCAAAATTATTCTCATTGGAGTATCATATAGGCAATTTCTGCGCATTGATGTTCATATTTTCCCCTACATGAATAGGGAGAAAGATGAAAAAAGAGGGGCTAAAAATATAATCATCCCAAAAAATATATTATTATCTACCTATTCAAGTTTTTCTTTTAAGAGATTTAAGCTTTTGACACAATGCAAAATTGATAGCCAGGATTAGTAGTCCTTGACTCCTTGTGTACTATTTTTTTAAAGAATTACAAACATCTTCCTTATTATGATAATCTAATGAAATGGGCTTTCTTTAATTTTTACTGCATTATGTACTGTAGTCATGTAACAATCAGTTCACTCATTCCATATATGTTGTCAAGAGCCTAATGTGTTCCTTTCAACATCTTTGGATTATGTGAAGGGGCGTGGAACTGTTGTGACTGGTCGTGTTGAACAAGGTACCATCAAAGTAGGCGAGGAGGTTGAAGTATTGGGACTAACACAGGTAGACACGAAAGTCAAATATGCATTATCATGTCATGTTAATGTGTGTTCTGCTTTATGGTATATGCTTTTGTATTTAACTATTTATTGGTCTTTGTGTACAGGCTGGACCTTTGAAGACTACAGTAACTGGTGTGGAAATGTTCAAGAAAATTTTGGATCGAGGGGAAGTGAGTAAAATCATATAACCCTCCCTTCCCTATCCTTCCTTCTCCAAGTGATTTGAATTGATTGATAACAATTGGTTGTACTAATTTGTGTCCATTTCTAGGCTGGTGATAATGTAGGACTTCTTCTACGTGGTCTTAAGCGTGATGATGTACAACGGGGAATGGTGAGTGAAAATGAAACTAATTCAAAGTATGAAGTAATATTAAACTATTATACATGAAATATATGTTTAGCACTGATCTAAAACTTCATACGGAAGTGTAAGTCTGGTAATTGTCTCACTCTTGTCATGAAAAGTTGAGTACTTACGAATTCATAATTAATAGTACATTGAAAAAGAAAAATGAAATAGCAGAAGTAACAAATAAAAAAACTACAATTTACCATTTCATTTAGGTTTACGAGGGTCATTCATTTGTGCAATTAAACCATTTTTTTTCTCTTTTCCTGTTTTAAAACCTTTTTGGAGAAAATTACAGGTTGTCACCAAGCCTGGTGCGTTTAAAACGTATAAGAAGTTTGAAGCAGAGATTTATGTCCTCTCAAAAGATGAAGGTGGCCGTCACACTGCTTTTTTCTCTAATTATAAGCCTCAGTTTTACATGAGGACTGCAGATGTTACTGGAAAGGTAGAATTACCTGAAAATGTTAAGATGGTTATGCCTGGTGACAATGTCACAGCAACTTTCGAGCTGATCTCACCTGTTCCTCTTGAAACGGGTAGGTTGAATTCTAAATGAGCTTAGATGATAATACAACGCATTGTCTAAGATTGGTCACATATATCTTAATTATTCGATCAATGTAAATTTCTGTCATAAAAAAACCGCACCAACAGCTCAGTTTCAAATGAACTGAATGTTAAATTAAATATGACATTTCAATTCATGCAGACACTCCTTTAGAAGCTTCAAATATAGCTCTTGACCTCTTACTCTGATGAAAATATATACATTTAAAGCTAAACAGAATGATATGCTAATGAAATGAATATATTAGTCACTTGTAAAGACTATAAAACAAGATTAGAAGAGACACAAACTAAGATTAAGTCGTACCTAATTGCTATACAACAGTAATCCTTCCTATCCTTGATGTTGATATTAACGCAGAAGATTGCTCGATTTCAATTTCAACTAGAATGTCTATTTCAAAATGTATTTAGGTCTTTCATTCGTAGCAATTCTTATGCTATCTCTATTAATTGATTAAGCATCTTCTAATTTTAGTACTAACTACTGGGGATTCAACTCATAATCTACATATTTAAGCAGTCTTTACATTCTCTTTATAATGCGGCATAACCATGGTTTTTAATCATCTAATATATCCCCTTAAAAATTAATGTTTAGCATTTATTTTTTAATGAATTTGGAGGGTCTAGAATTTTATTTATCAGGAGCTATAACGGTCTGTGCATTGTCTTTGTTTCCTATATGCAACTTTTATTTATGATTACATTCAATAATATGATCTGACAGAAACGTTTTATTTACAAACAGGACAAAGATTTGCTTTGAGAGAAGGAGGCAGAACAGTTGGTGCAGGAGTGGTCTCCAAAGTGATTGCCTAGGATGTTGATCTAAAACTTTTTTTGTCCAGTAATTTGTAAAAAGGTTGTGAGTAGGGAGAGAGCAGTGTTCTAGGAGGATTCTAAGATATGACTATTTTTTTACACTTTATGCTGTTGTTCCGTTTGAATGTGTTTTGTTTTTGTTCAGAGAATTATACTATTTCGTTTAGATAGTTTTCATGGACCGAGGGAAAATGCTTGAAACTTTTGTGGTTAATAATGCCAATTTCTTCAAGATTCCTTTCTCATTTTTCTTCTTTGGTATATTGTTAGAATACCTTCATCGGTGCCAATAAATGCATGCATTCGGTTCCTTTATAACTATGAAGCTTTGATGAGAAAATAAATGCAAAGTTTCTGATCAAGGAAAGAAGCAGCAATCATAAGATTATTACCAAGTCAGTCTGGCCTAAAGAAGAAAAAACCAAGATTGTATAGGATTAAACTTTTTTTTATGCCATGCAGGATGTACTGTTTAATAATCGCAAAGGGTATATGGATAGTTCAATTCAAATAATAAAATTGAATCTGAAAAAATAATAATAATGAACAAATCATTGAATCATGCTATCTCTCCAGCTCAATGAGCCTTCTCGGAGAATCTACTAGTTCACACACATATATGTACAAGTACACTATTACAGTGATTGCTCTGGGTCAACATGGTTTACTGATTTTGCAACATGGTTCCATGTTTGATTGTTTTACCTATCTTCCAGCAAATTCAATGCTGTCTCAACCAGGGAATGAATTGTTAGATTGTGGCGGTTCAGTCCCACGGTACCGGAGAAAACATTAAAGCTTTCAAGCTCTGAAGTAGTCTCTAGGACACCCTCCAGCACCTCCTCCATTCTCATATCCTTGAAAGTTTGTATGTTTTCAGCTTTGTCCTTCATCATCCAAATAGCCAGCTCTATCACAAACCTCCTTATCCTAGGGACCTTAGTTGGTGGATATTGATGTTTCTTGAGAATCTGGATTAATTTATTTGCCAGTTCTGCCTCAGTGATTCCAGATTCTTCAAATACAGTGCTTGATTCAGAAGAAGTCATGAATGTGAAAACACTTGCTGCGAGTCCAACCATCACTTCTTGTAGCTTGTTTTCTTGAGACATGATTGCCTGAAGTATCTGCAGGGTTGAAAAATGGTGAAAAATGAATGAATATTTTCTCTGTTTTTATTTTTTATCATCTGTATGATTTTTGCTGGATACAAGAGAAACATACTATAAAGTTCACATGGTAGAGTAGTAACACTTACTGTGGGTGCTGCAGCTGTAACTCCCCTTAACTGTTTGAAGCATTCTGATCCACTGTAGGTGCATAAATTTCTTAGAATTCTAGCAGCATTGACACGAAGCAGTGGAACTCTCAATGATTCTACCAGTCTTTCCAGTACTTTCAACTTCAAAATCCGGTGACAATTGCTCTTGCTTTCTAATGCCAGCATTGCTAAGGCCTCACCAGCAACAGTGGTTACATCTTTCTCACTCACAGTGTAATCTTTGAAAAATATGTTGAACAATTCTTTAAGTACTCCACCTGTACCACCAATCCTTTCTGTTGCCTCCTCTTCCAATGCCAGATTGGTTAAAATTTCTATGCTCAGTTTCTGTAGCAAAGGGTGTTTCTCTCCGTGCCTTAAAATGTCTCTGACGTTGCTGATCGTGAAAACTATCTCTGAAATCTCCCTTCTAAGATGTTTTCCGTTGGTGCCTGTTGTGCTAGCCAGCATCTTCACCAGCTGCAAAGATCTCTTCACAGTCAGAATTTGGGATGGCGTAACATTTTCATTCTTCAACAACCTTTCTTCAGCATGTGTGAAATCTATGATCTTTGGGAGCAGGCCTCTTGTGTTTCCAATCTTTCCACAGTTGTCATGATCATGGGCAAGCTTTTTCAGAATGAGGAGTCCCAAATGGTTAAAAGTCCAGTAGCTGTAACTAGGATGATCAAATATGAGTTCTTTTTCTCCAATTTCATCAGCTGCAGGAATGCAATTCCTGTTAGTTTGTAGAAGTGATGAAATTGATTCCATAGCTCCGGGTATCCCCGCGATTCGGAGAGAATTCTGCTTCTTGCCAGCTAGTTCTGCTAAAATCTCTGCAGCTGAGAGCCTAATTTCTTCCTCCTTGTGGTCTGTCCAATTCAACATCTCAACTAGTCTCTCTACCACAGATATGGAAATTCCGATCTTCTGAAGAGTATCATCACAAAACCGTTCACTAACCGCGAATTGGCGAAGAATTCTTGCTCCAATGAGCTCCTCATCAGGTGAGTTTGAGGCCAAAAGATCCATAGCAAAACACACCATGTCCATTTTCAACCCATCAAATATGCTTCCATTGACACACCTTGAATAGGCATCATAAAAGAACCTTCTAATAGACACCAACCCTGATGGCCCCAACTCACACTCTCTATTAACCTCATCCAGCAGTTCACAGTAGCTGATTTTCCATTCCCAGTAAGCCTTTTCTATCAAGAACAACAAGGCTTCTGCCAAAGCCAAGGCATAGAAGATATTCAAAGCCGATTCCCTGTTCCTCTTGTCAGTGTCTCCCTTTGCAACGTCTCCATAATTATGCTTGATGAGCTTTGTTGAGGAAAGAACCACACAAGCTATTGCAGAAAGAAGCTGAAGCCAATACAGAAGCTTACTGATATGCCTTGAAAGGAAAAACCACTTAGCATAAGGTAGAAGAGGAACATCAGAACTAATCCAAGTGCGAGTTGGTGTCCTTATGCTTGTGTTATCTCTATACCTGGGGGTTACATTAGCCTCCACCATGTCTCTCCTATGCTTATTGACCCTCCAAAGGCTCTTCATACTTTGAAGCACAAAATTTGAGGTGGACCTCAACATCCTGAAACTATTGATCCCAGCATCAGCAATAGACCATGTGGCCTGATGCTGCCACTCAAGCTCATGACTTCTGCTGAAAATCCTTGTTCCCTCAATCAAAAGAATGATGGTGATGAACCAGAAATCGGTTTTGTCTAAGGTAATGGCAAAACCACCAAGAAGAACAACGGTTGCCCATATAAAACCAAGAGTTCCAAGGCTAGTGGCTGCTTTTTCAAGCACTGCAAGACGCAAAGCAAAAAGGGTCAGCTTCTTTTCTGGTGCTCTAACTGTTGTTGCTGAGATTGAATAGTCTGCACCACTGTCTCTCTTCTCAATACTGCTAACCCCTCGAGGCTCAAACATTGTGCTGGTTTTGCTTGTCTCACTTAGCCTATGGAGTTCACCAACTTGCAAGTGAACACTTCTCTCTCCTTCCATCTTCATAGAAATCCTATGATCCGTGATACTAATATGCTAAGTGTTGTTACGTTATTGCAAATTTAATGTAAAATGTTTTAGTTTTGTGTGTATCACAGACAAAGGGGTGGTGGGTGGTTTTATACAACAACAGAATGAACGAGAATGGAGAGCTTAGGGTGCACGCTTATGTTGTGGCATGTTAGGGGAAGAGTAACGCCAAGATTCTGTCTCCGTTTATTTAGATATATTGGTTATGCTTTCTTAGCAATCTTAGTAACTTGCAACGGTTAACTTCTTTCTCTATCTCTTGCAAAGCTCGCTTTCTCTTTCCAGAAAGTTTCTTTATGCATATATTTGTTTAATAATTTTTGTACCGTGTCTCTTAATAAGATGTTAATAAAGAATAAATTCTTATTAAAAATTATAATATTTAATATTGTTAATATATTAAAGTTTATGATAACTACAGTCCTTATTATGCGTTTTTAGTACACGAAAAAAAATGTATATTCTATACTGAATACCTCACGTGTTTGGAAGTATGAGCTTAAATAAAATATTCGCACCCTTATGATTGGAAGAGGATCTTTCACCTGAATGGAGTAACAAGTCAATAATTTTGTTTGTTATCTTTTCCTTGAGATATACAAGTTCATGCATGGCAGGTCCAAAAGGAAAGTAAACCTTTCTTATTTGTTTGTTTTTTCATTATAGTTTATACTTTGTACGGCTTTGATTCTGACCTTATAAAACAAGAATAATTCCACCTTCACTTAGTTTTTTTATTAACAGCTCTTACAATATAAGATGCATATAAGAAAAGATGAAATAAAATGTACGATGGGTGATGCCATAGAATAAAGAAAAAAAGAAAAATGGGTAATAGAAAGTATTATAAAAAACCTATTGCCAATTCAACGTTACTCAAGAAGAAAAGAAGGTCGTTAAACAAGAGGCTGCTATAGAACTAGTCTTCATCATTTTGGCACTACGAATCCCATCGTACATGTTTGTTTTGGTGTAATCAAGGTTGCACCGTTTATAAAGTTAGATGTGTATTTTATGAAATTCGATGTGACCAAAAGATTGCTAATTATACCAAATATTACACATTTTATAGCGAGAGAGATTCCAACTCTTTTATTTAAGAGGAAAACACTAAGCTAAATTTAATTTGGACAACTATTTTAATAGTTATTTACATAAGAAAAATATAAAAAGGTAAAATAAATTATTGTTTATAAGTTAAAATTAATTTATAGATATTAATTTTTTATAAGTTTTTTAAATTAATTTGATGTGCATAAATTAATTTTAATTTATAAAAAAATCTCTAGTAAATTTTATCTAAATTAATTTATAGTTGTATATAGATTAAGTTAATGATTCGTTAGCGTCAACCGAGTTGATATAGACATCGATCAAGTCAATGACTAAGCACAATTGGTTTAAATTTTATTTTTTTCACAAAGACGTTTTATATAAAAATGCATGTGCGAAAAGTTTAAAAGAATTAGATAAGCTCATTTAAAAAAAAAACTATATTAAAAAGTTTCTGAAAAATAAAAAAATATAAGTGTATTTGGATACCTAATTTTCAAAACAAAACGTGTTAAAAAATCATAATAATAAGAAACATAAAATATTATTTTGTTTAGTGTTTCAGAAGTTGAAATAACCTTGTGAAATTGTTTTAAAAGAAGCTATTTTATAAAAATGAATTTTTAAATTATATAAAAAAATGAGTCTGGCATATCATTTGCCAATTGGTCCATATTTTACATAAAAGAAAATGAATACAAGAATTGCAGTAAAGTTTATGCAAAAACGAGAGCATGTGAATTTAAAGTAACAGAAAATTACACGCAAAAATTGAGTTTTCTTTTGATTAGTTTGTTAAACGATATGTTGAAGGAGGAAAGTGAAACTCTTATGGTTGTGGGTTTGAGTGCACGGATAGATTATCACACTCTGACATGACTCAAATCTTTATCAAAAATCACTTATTTTCAGAAGCTCTAGCTTATCGGCTATGGCTAATCACGTTCTTCAGGCGTGCTGCATATGTTATGTAATAATAATATTTTGTTTTTTATAACTTTATAAATATTTTTTTTTAGATAGAATTCTTTTAGTGTTAGAAATTTTTATTTTAAAAATTTATACCTTTAATTTATTAAATGTATTAAAAAATTTTATTTTAAGTTAGTTTTAAAATAGTATTAACGTTAATCTTTAAGTGTCTAAAAGTAATAAATTTTATTAAAAATATTTATTATATTAAATTTATAAAATTGTAATATATATATATATATATATAATAAATTATTATTGTTATTAATTTAAACTTAATATTAATAATTAATATTAATACTTTTAATTTAATAATAACCATGTGATACAGAGGAAACTTACAAGTAATAAAAATTTACGAAAACTATTAACACAAAGGGTTGTGATAATATATGTTGTTAAATAGTTGAATTGCTTGAGAAAAGAAGGGAAAGACAGGGATAGCTCAGTATTGCAATGAGGGTATGTGAGATGGTGTTCTGTAAACAAAACAGGGTCTTCATCAAGTCTCGTCTCATTTTCGTATTTGGGTCCCAGAAAACGTAGGCAAAAAGAGAAAAATAAAAGAATAAAATATGGATCCTTTGTGTTCCTTAAGGGAACCCAGACCATACATTTTTGCTTGTGGACGCGTACACGTAAAACAGAGTATCGCTATGCTACAAGCTTAAGCTAATCAGATGGAACTGCATCGTCCATGAGGGCTACCTAGTACGTGTTGCTCCTTTCTTTTCTTTTTCAATTTTCATTTCTTTTCAATTATCATATTATAAAGTATATTTCTATTTTCTCTTTTTTCAAGTAATCTACATTATTTTTTGGCGTTTATGAAGGGAAAAAAGAGAGCAAATTTTTACTCCAAATTCTAAATTCCAATTTACAAAAAGTCCTTAAATACAAGATTTTAAATACTCAGAATGTTAAATACAATTACACAAACAATAAAAATTTTGTCGTCAAGACATTCTCTCAATTTTAAATTGATTTCATTTTAAGAAAAATGTATTTTTATATATATATTAAATAACATTTTAGGATAGCTTTAAATTTATTATTTTATTTTTTAGCCAACGGTCAAAAGATTCTAAATATTTACTTCAGTCCTATTTAAAAGAAACAACTATCAACATTTTTTTAAAAATTACTAGAAACAAATGTCCATTTTCAAATGCATTAACTATTAAAAAAATTTGTATACCGTTATCTATTATTAAATGTGTTAACAAACTCCACTTAATACTCATATATGGTGCTGCATTTAAATTTTGTCATTTTTAAAATATATTATAAATTTATAATATATAATTATTTTTTTATTAATTTTAATAAATTAATCATTTATGTTTCACTAATAAAAAAAGCCAAAAAGAGTACACAGTACGATGCACAAGATGACACGAGTCATGACTTAATATTCCAAAAGACTTAAATGATAATTCAGTAAAATTAAATTCAGTAAAAATTATGTACTCATTAAGTTCATTATTATTTTTCTTATTTATTAAAAGAAAATTAAATGACGATAAACTTAATACTTTAAACTTATTTAAGAAAAATATTCTTTTTTAAGTCTTTGTGAAAGCTTTCATGAAAAATATTTGTTTTTCTGAAGATTAATCTGCAGTAAACATGTTCTTGGTCTCTCTTTTATTTAGGTTCAACTCATTTTCCAAAATAGTTAACCCCTAGCAACCTCAGTGGAAACTTGCGGTTCACCGAGTACATGATTCTCAAGTTTTTTTTTTTTTCATGCTCAGACATGGTTCTCAAGTTTTAATAGTTTTATCCTCTCAATTTTTAAAAACTTTACACCGTTAATTGTGTTAAGCTCACCGTTTACTCTGAAATTTAGCATAGTTCATCTTCTACTCCTCCAAGTTTAATATTAAGATGACTTCCCCAGCAAAAACTTCGTAACATAACCACCGCCTAGCTAAAACTAAGATGGGAAAAAATGAAATTCTTTACTTTATGCAAAATACTCAATTAATTTCACAATAAAAACACATTAAGAAACTTACATGTGGGTGTGCGTGCGTGGGCGAGAGAGAGAACAAGTTAAGAAAATATGGAAATAATTTGTAACTATCTAATTTCCCACCTTTACCATGCACGAAAGAACAAGTACAGAATATTAATTAATTTCTATACTGTTCTCCGAGCATGCCTAAATAATGCAGTTTAACCAAGAGTGAAAGAGAAGAGGCGAGAGAAAGGAGAGTGAGTGGAACCCAGTATATTCACAAAAAGCTATTACCATTAGGTTTGAGCCACTGGCAATTTTTAATCAGTTCAATACAAGGAATACACGAGGTATCAAGGCTCTGTGTTAGTTCATTTCACTGTTTTCATCCACTTAATTGAATTTGCTGCCTACATTAATATTTCCAACCAGATCACCCATTAAAATAAACAAATGATATTACGCGTTGTAAATAAAACTTCTATTCACCAAGAACAAATACTTGTAACTGTAACAGAAGGCAGTACTGGAAGAATCACCACATGTCTGCACTCTGCACCACGATGACACCAATTGTAGAAAAGCAATATCATGCTTGGCACTGGCAATAAGCAGAACTCAAAAATTAGATTTTTTCTAGCATCCCCAGTTTATCAGCTTCATAAAACCTTCAGCGAAAAAGCAATATTAACAGTACATTAGCACAAGTCCTTGTAGGCACCATATAAATCGTAAAAAGAAACAAGGAGTATCGAAGTATTCGAGAAAAGTCCCAAAGAATACATGTCTAGCGCAGGTACGCCAATATTTTTAAGTGATTGCGCTTCCACGGTTTGCATGTACAAGAAAACACGAGCTTGAAGTCCCTTGTGTTAGCCAAGAAAATAAAAGGAGATAGTTACTCGTGAAATATTCATGACTGAGGGTCAAGTAAGTCCTTTGTAATACAATGAGCTACAATATACTGCCACTTAGCACATGTGAATTATCACAACTGATATCAATTCATATAATCAAAATGTAAGAAATAGTTCTTACTATTAAATTAAATAAACATACACCTTTACTTATAAACAAGATAAAGCCTATCCCGCAATAGATTATCTCTCCCATGAATAGTGAGCACTTCCGCATTAAACAGGACCTCACACTCAAGCCGAGACAATCTCAACTTTAATAAATTCATAATCCCAACATTTCTCAGTGGGAATTTCTAACAATTAATGAAGTCTGAGACCTTCCCCGTTCACAAACTATGCCCAATTTTAAGCTAAGCCTGCCAACTATCTAAACTTTTCCGTTGTCCAAGAGGCATGGCCAAATATGATCCATTATATCCCTCAATGGTCACTGTGCCATTTAACAGGTACACATACAGCTGTGTACCTAATACCTATTTCTTTTTCAAATTTCACTATCATGTATCTTTAGGTCCATCTTGATCAAGCAATAAAACGAAATGATATCACTCAAGTACAAGCCAGTCCATGCAAAATACTGAATTTGCTACTATGTTGTTTGGTTTGCTACTAAATGAAACAAACTACCACTTCATATTTCCAAACTCTCTGCCCTCTTTAGATGTTGCTGTTTCCTTGATATATATTTATGGAGTTCTTTTGGAAACTTGGAGTTACTTAGAACATAATAAACATCGTTATATTGTATGATTTAAAATGCCCCACCATACTGACATTTTAGTTTTTAGAAATTTCGTCATATACCAGTGCAGGTATGTCAATCTCAACAAAATCCATTTACGAACAAATATTGCATCCTTCGATCAATAGAGTTTACATGGTAATCCAAAGTAATGGATTTTTACGGCAAAGAATGATCTTTGCACCTTGAAAGCAGAAAGGGAATGGAGAATCTAAAATGGGTGGAAAACAGTATTAGTTTCCAGAATGAAGCACTTAGCACTCACACATTTGATAAGTGCATCCACATTCCTAAACAATCAATCCAATTTAAAAAGTCATCCATTGCACGAAAATTTTCCATAGAAAACCTCTCTAGTCTACCCTCATACAAAATTTTCTATAGCAGCATGCATTTGCAAATTGCAATACAGAACAGAATAATAAAATAAATTACCATGCAAATATGTTATATGAAAGGAGTCCTTTGGGAAACCTTAGCTTTCTCAGCATCAATAATAGACTCTACCAACATCACAGCATTGTCAAGCTTCCCTTTGGCATTCACTACCACATAATCAAAATTCTTCACGTGCTTCATCTCCTCCCTCGAGGTACCAATCCTCACAAGCAGAGACTCCACCGTCTCCGTCTTCCGATCCACCAACCTCTCCACCATCGCCATCTCACTCTCCGCCACCACAAACACGAACACCGCCGAGCTTCCCAGCACCTTCCTCAGTGTCTCCGCACCCTGAATATCAACCCTAAGCACCACATCGCAACCCTTTGCCATGAACTCGCGAATCTGCTGCTTCGGCACGCCTTTGTAATCACCATACACCAGCGCGTACTCGAGCAGCTCCTGCTGCTCCACCATGCCGAGAAACTCCTCTTTGGAGACGAAGAAGTAGTCCTTGCCGTGCACCTCGGAGGGACGGCGGGGGCGCGTGGTGGCAGTGACGACGAAGTGGAGGCCGCGGCGGGACTGACGGAGGCGCGTGATTAGCGCGTCTTTGCCAACCCCACTGGGGCCACTGATGACAAGAATGAGAGGGTTAGGGTTTGGAGAGAGAGGGTCGGAGCTGAAGGAAGAACCCAAGGAAGCTTCTAGAGCACGGAGAAGTTCGGAGCGTTGGGCTTTTTCGAGAGTGGGAATGGGGACGGAGATGGGTCTTCTTGCGTCCCCCATTTTGGAAGAGGAAAAGGCTTTGACAGTGAGAATGGGTAAGGCGAAGAAGGAGTTGTTGGTTTTGGGTGGGATTGTTGGAATAGGAAGATGGGGGAAAGAGTTGCAAAGGACCCTGCGGAACATTGAGCACTCTCACCGTAATATCAGATTAGATTATACTTTCTACCAAATTTAATTATAACATATATATACATCAATCATCATGCTCCTGCTTTTCCATTTTATTTTTTTTACTCCTCAAATCACACTTTCATCTTTGTCTACTCTCGTTTATTTATTTAAATATGTTTTTTATTTCTCTATTTTTTTTTCTTCACTTTTTGATTTTTTTATTTTTTATCCCCAATATTATTGGGTTGGCCAATGGATGTCTAAATACTATACACATGCCAAACCATCGTAGTATGCATATCTGTAGCTTCCTGTTAGGTTAACAATAACCGTACATCTACACTTTACAAGCTAGTTTATGTAGCATTGAAGTCACTTGCAAACCAATTGTGTAAATTCAGATTTTTATCATTGAATCCCATAAAAGATTAATTTCATATCTATGCCCAAACTTGTGGGACTTTTTTGTACGGTATACCATAGTAAATATAACAAAACTAAATATTTGTTAGTCATGTCAACAGCTACTGACAGCAAGATAAAACTGGGACTGATAATGAAAGTTTTAAAAAATTAAGAATGAATATAGAACTAAATTATAGTAACTAAAAACACTCATTATATATATAGAGAGATTAAAAATATATTTAAAGTAATAAAAAAAACTTACTTATGACGAATCAGTGTCTGGTATGTGAGCAACATCTTCTAAAGTTTAATCCAATGCAAAGAAATTGACGGCATGTTGATGCACGTCCTCCTTATCTTTTCTATTAATAAATTAGTTTGCAATTTCATGTACAATGGCATAGAAGTGTGCGCCCAAATTCGCCCATAAAAAGGTATGGCAAGCACTTACGAATCATAGGCCACGAAAATGACTTGCAAGGAAATTATAGAGTGCACACGTGAAATTCAATAAGCAAACGTGTGAAACGGCTTAAAGGACTACTACTACTTCATTTCTTTTGTTTAACACCAAATTAAGTTACCAACAGCGAAGATACGCCTTAGAGAAAGAGACTATCATTTTGGCTATAAGTTTCTATTTTGAAAAAGAGAAGATACATTATATTGGTAATGATACCCAAGTGATACAGTAATCTAGTACTAATACTAAGGCAAAATAACCACTTCAAATTCTGTAATGAAGCAACCTCTCTGCCTTCAAGTTCATGGCTTTTCAGATCTTTCATGTTCTGTTATTAACAAATTAGAGTGCAAGAAAATCATCATCAATTGGACCACGCGAACCCTTCAAACTTCAAATTGATGATGCAAATTGGGACAATTAAAAAATCGTCCATAGCATAGGGACTTCAGGAATAGACTTGATGAGTCTCTTAAGCTCTCCCATTGTTTAATACTTCAAATGTGTGATCAAGAAACTCAGGCATCAGGGCTTCAGGGCACAACACAAGGCAGTTGTTGGCCCCACATATATTCGATATAATTCAATATCAATACCATTGACCACCAGCTCCACCTTGAGCAGCAGCAACTTTTCTTGCCATGTATTGAGGCTTTGGCTGCAGCCCATTAGAACCTTCAATCCCATCATCCTCTGCCCTTTCATTTTTATAGTTCTGATTTCTCCGAGGATATGAACAGCTTGAAGCAGCATACTGAGCTGAAGCTGATGGGTTCCTAACCACTCTCCGCTGTTCAGACTCTGCCGTCACTGCCACCCCGCAATTGTTGTAACGCATTACTGAACCAACAACTTTTCCGGGCCTTGCAGCAACGCCTGAAGAAAGCGAGCCACAAATGTACATAGGATGAGAATAACATTATAATAACTTAAATTTCCATGTATTGATTAGCAAATTCTATAAGACAATAACATCAAAGTCTTGTGTCATTAGGTAAGTTTGACTACATAAATCATACAACATCATTGGATTCAGTCGAACAACTAAATTTCAGATATATTATTTATCATCAGATCCTTTTTGATGATTTTGCATATTCTATAAGGCAACTTTTTAAAATCGAAAAGTATTTATATTCTGCTAAGTCATTTTACTGCGAATGTGCATGCAGATGTGTTAAGGTACAACTAGAACAAAGAATATGATGACAAAAAGTAAGTCATTTAAATAATTCAACAGCTCTGTTTCAGTATTTATTCAATACAAACCAGATGCTTTCAGTCATTTACACATAATTCCTATCATGTGGCTTAAGAAAGAAGTACAAGCGCATACATGCACAAACAACCTCTTATTGGTTCAAAAAACAGATGAATAAAAATGAAACATGTTTAAAGACACAACAATCTTGCCAGTAATGTCAGCCAGGTGTAGATTACGAGTAACAAAAAAGAAAGGGTGACAGAGAAGGGTAAAAAGCATAAAAAAGTCAGTCATACCTTGAATATTTTGAGGAGCTTGTAAGGGAAGCCGTGTCATAGGGATGGCACTACTCCTATCTATGGGTGGTTTCTCAACTTCTTTGAGACAACATTTGGATAAATCATCTGCAACCTCAGCTGTGCTCTGTACTGAGTTATCTGAATACAACACACATGGTCTGCATGCACAGCCTCAAATCAGCAGAGTTGCCAATTCCACAGCAGATAAATGGATGTATTCTATATTGGTCACAAGATTAAAGGACAATGGCCGAAGAAGAAAGCAATAATTTCCCAAGGCAGTATCAAAAAACAGGATACCTAGGTAATGATGCATGTTGCCTCTCAGGTGGAGCAACAGTACCCCCTTTGCCATAATGCTCCTCTAGATATGCAAATTGCTTCTTGAAGTGGTCCACAGCACTATTTAAAATAGATGTTAGGAAAAAAGGAGGGAAAAAAATGAAAAGCTGACCTTACACACTACATAAATTTGGGTAACAAAACCAGACAAGCTAAAACAAATCAATCTAAATAATGAACTTGTGGCTAAAGTTACATTTCAATAAACATATAATCACATAAATTTGGGTATAGGTTCAGACAATACCTTGGATACATGAAACCTGTTGGCTCAGCTCCCTCTAGAAATTCCTTTAACATTTTTGGATGGTACTCCAGAATCTCTCGGTATATAAGCTCTCTTACGTCTTCCTTCGTTATTCTGCGTCTCTCAAATTCAAACTCCATCTTGGTAACTGGCTGAGCGGAAGGTTCCCTCTCAACCTTGGCCAAGCCTTTAAAATATGGATCCGCTAGAGCCTAACATTATTATACACAAGATGCCTTGTTAACCAGCTATAAAAGAGAAAGTGAACAACAGATAGATGGACATCGAGATTCAACCTCTTCAGCAGTAGGCCGATCCTTAGGCTCAAATGCCAACATTCTTTCTAACAAACGTAGAGCAAGGGGATCTGCATTAGGAAATTTCTGTGAGAAAGGAACTGGCTTCTTCTTACGCATACTGCTTAAGTATCTCCGAGCTTTTTCATTTCGTACCTATCAATATAATACCAAGGTAACATTAAGTAAAAAAATAGAACATAAAAATTCCTAAAAGGAAGGGAAAATAAACAACAGACCCTAGCAACAGATTCAGGAGATGGTGTTCCCAGAAGATCAGTCATGAGGTCCAGTTGATGGACAACATTCTTCCCAGGGAAAAGGGGTTTTCCAGTCAAAAGTTCAGCAAAAATGCAGCCAATACTCCATATGTCTATAGCTGGTGTATACTGGAAAAAAAAATGACCATAGTATCTACTAAGTGCAAGATGATGAATCATTAAGATACATAGAAGCATAGAAACACCATTCATCTTCATTTCACAAACATGATAAATGTACTGTTTATTTGACTATAAATTAAACAGCTAAAAGTAACATGCTTAAGTAGGAAACCAAATACTTCTCATAAACAAAATAGCATAAGGCATAAGCAACAAATAATAATAGTTAATAGACACTGATTGCCTTTGTATATTTAAATCTTACAAATATCCCCAGCAGGCTGTATGATGCAATTAAAAGTAAAAGGTGACCTTAAAACAGGTAGCTGAGGAGGTCAAAAGCATCCTAAATGAGATAACAATGAAAAGAGCAGTTGAGAATTGACCACAGTTAGATATCAAAACACTGTCAAACCATATTTGATGCAGATAACCCAATATTCAGATGACACAATGAGTAACTTTATTATACACATGCAGATGGCATGTGGGAGAATGATTGGGAATTTTGTGTTATTATTCTAACTTCTAGATTCATGCTATTTACAAACTAATAATGCTCAGCAGGCTGCATAAATTGGAATTCTGGAGCAACATACTTGAAAAAAATTAAAATTTAATGCTACTATTTGACAAATTCATCATGAAAAACAAAAACTATTTTAACTAAATCAATCAAAAACCACTACAAGTGTATAGATTGATTATGTAGTATAAAATTAGTATTGAGCGTACAGTAGACAGTAACAATCAGTAACATTTTTTTTTCAAATTTATCACTCTTATCATATAAGGAATAACATAAATTCAATATTCAATAAATAAAAAATGAAAACCATTCATATCCCAGATTGGGTATAACTGTCATTTTCACATGCAAACTAAGAAACTGTACTATAAAAGATCTATTAAGTACAGCAATGGGATATTATCCCCTTACACTATTGATGCCAATTAATGCTTTTGGCACCCAATTTACTTACAACCAATTAAATGAATTCTTTAATCCAAAAGAAGAACGGACCACAATATATAAAATCACATGACCGACAACTTGAGTACAACAAATAATGCTAATAAGCTAAGGTTACATGTCTACCTAAGCTCATGTATATTGACCAGATAATTTAAAAAATAAATAAATTCTCGATGTCTAGTTTAGAGATCTGTAACATTTGATAAGAGATTCCTGCATCCTTGTTTGAATGAAAGAAGCAAGATGAGAAGGGGAGAGGAAAAGGATGTGCCCAAACTTTCAGATACCAAGCAGGGATCAATATCAAATAAAAATAGGCAAAGGATCTTAAATAATAGTTTGAACATATATTGCACCTTGGAAAAAAAGGATCCACACAACTCAGGAGCCCTATACCACCGTGTTGCAACATAATCCTGCAAGCAAACAAACAAAATCAAGAGTGATGAACTGAGAAGAGCCATGTTCAAGGTTACAGTTTCAGGGAAAAAGATTCATACAGTCCAGAATATAGCAGTGGGTGTATCATTAAAAGCCACTCTGGCAAGACCAAAGTCGCAAATCTTCAGTTTGCAGTCAGCATTTGCTAAAATGTTTTTTGGTTTTAGATCACGGTGAAAAACATTTGCTGCAAATCCATTAAGAAGTTTAAAATCAGTCATAATGATCACATAATTTATTAACTAGTGTTATGCACAAACAAAAGTAAACATGCAATAGCAAGCAATCTAAGAAAGATCCCTAACTAAAAATAAGACCATAACCTGTGTGTATATACTTCAAGCCTCGAAGAAGCTGGTAGAGGAAAAATTGGTAATGCTCTGGCGTCAAATCATCATTTGCTTTGATGACCTGATGTAAATCAGATTCCATGAGCTCAAAAACAACATATATATCTTTGAATTCCCTTCTAGAAGGAGGTAACAAAATATGCTTGATCTCCACAATATCTGGATGACGTAAAAGTCTAAGAAGCTTTATCTCACGAAGAATGCGAGTGGCATCAGAAACATGTTCAAATATGTCATTGATTTTCTTTATTGCAACCTTTTCTCCAGTATGTGTATCATATGCAGAGCAAACAACACCATAGCTTCCTTTACCAATTACTTCCTCTATTTTATACCTGCTTCCTTCACCATATTCAGTAAAGAAGTCCACATCCACAGATGACTGCATATACACAACAAACCAAACTATTTAATAAAGATACTATGCCAACCCAAAGCCATATATATGGTTTCAAAATACATATTGTAAGTTTGTCACAAAGGGAATTAGAATGACGTTGCACATATTTACACCAGAAAGTTGCAAGATCAGTGTCTAAGGTTTGCATTCAAGTCCAACCATGAAAAGAGGAGGATAAAATAGACTCCAGAGTTTTAAACTATAATTATCATTGTAATTAGTTTATACATAAGATTTATAATACATAGACCACAGGGAAGACTTGATTCCTCTCTAACACTAACGACATAAATATATTTCTGGAGGTTTTCAATCTGACATGTGGAATTTACATAGTATAATTAAAATATAGAGAGATAATAGATAAATGGTGCAAATAAGAAGAATTTGTCATCAGTAATTTTGTAATATTAAATGAAAAAAAAGGGTTGGGGGCTAATATAATCCATTGCAAGAGTCTTCAGACACTGTAGAAACCACAATAGCAGACACCCAAATCTTAAATTATGGAAAACTTTCTGCAGAATCTCTCACAAACCAACATTCTAGACATAAGCATCTGATAGAGAAGGATATGCATCTGCAGGACACGTTTCTTCTTAATTAAAAAGGGTCTCTTATCCATGACACAACCAAAGCATTAAAGGAAAAAGAAAAAGTAAGCAGTGCCAGGGAACATGGAAGAATTAGAGCACCCCCAATACTAGAAGGTATAAAAGAACAAAATTTCAAACGTGAGAGTACATAAAGCCAGTTTGGATAACTTATCAATAAACACTTTCAAGAGAAGATAATATAATGAATGAAGGAGAAAAACAAATCAACTTCTCTCATACCACTTATGGAGAAGTTAAATAAGGAAGCTTCTAAAAAGATGGAGAAGCACAGCTCGTGCAAAAAGTTTATTTCATTTTGTTTTGTTAAGAAGTTTATTCAATCTAAGTCACATATTCTGTCCATATCTCATAGATGCAGAACTCACATCACAAGGAGCATCCCTCGGTACCCACCCAAACTCACCCCAACAATTCAAATAAAAAAGTTAAGCAACTACATATACATCTAACTCAATAAACATCAGTCGAGTAACTTTACCTTTTTTCTTTGATCAGGAAACATGGTTGCAACTTAGCATACAAACCAATTGAATCCACCCAAACTCAAGAAAACGGATAAACGCACTAGAACACCCCAGATCACGGGGGTGTTCAAAATACAAACCAATTCCACCACGAGAAAGAGCAAGAGTAGAAGAGAAAAATTTTAATTCAATCTCACCAACAAAACAGACCCAACAAAGTTCAGCGGCGAACACAGCAACTGAGATTGGAAAAACAAGAACATGTACTAGAATAACATTGTGTTGGAATTGAAAAATAGATGAGAGAAAACTAAAAAAAATGGCGGAAGTCTCAAAATGCAGCTGAAAACGCCAAAGTTATAGATCAAGTTCCGTTGAAGTAAAAATCAACTTAAAAAACAAATCTTGTAGGATCTATTGCGGCGATAATTACAAAAGCTGCTAAAGGAAACGAATAAATAGAGACATAAAAAAATGGGAAGTGCTTCGGATTTCAAAGCAGAATAAGAATCTCTGCAATTGGGGAATTGAAGAAGCTGACTATGATCGAAAATTATAACGAAAAAAAAAAAAAGAAAAAAACTTTTGGATCTCACATAAACCACGTACTTGGAGTTCAAGTTGACGGAGGTTGTGGTGCAGAGCTTAAGCTTAAGAAAGAGAAAGAGACATAAAGAGACGAATATGGGAAAATAATTGAAATATAAAAAAAATTAAAATACTTGAAACTGAGTGTGATTTTAAAGGAAGAGTATTATTGCGGAAAAGCATGAATGTGCCTTTGCCACTCAATTTTTCCACTCTTCATTTTATTTCTAATTTTTTATTTTCTCCCTTTTTTAATAATAAAAAATTGTGTTTGATAAGATATTATGTGGAAGTGGGAATTTGGAGCTTGCATTTATATGTCTCATCTACAGTCAATTGTGTATTTATATTTTACCGTGAAAGTCACAGTTTTATGTATATTTAATTGAAATAAAAATGAGATTTGTCTAGTTAAAAATATCAATTTTAAATAAAAACTCATTTTATAATTAAATCATATTAAAATTAAATAAACCATCAAGCACAAGCACATAATCAAATAATTATTTGAACTTAACATGTGATATCAAATTTAAGTTCTAATGAGCACAGTTTGTACTAAATACTCTTATTTTTAATAAAAAAAGATATTTATAATTAAAAGAAATTAAAATTAAATAAATTGTTTATATACTAAAAAACAGCTTAACATTTTTATAATAATTATCAATGTAAAAATAAACTTATATCTGTAGTCTACAACATAAATGTTAAGAGTATGCACCTCAATCAATGAGGATATAAATTGGTCTTTAACTCGCCTGTGATTGATTCATAAAAGAAATTGCTTGTTATTGTTAATAAACCAAATAAAGAATACGATAATCCAAACATATTAAGTGACAATGTGTGATAAAAACTAATTGCAGCGATGTTAATAATTAACTCTAGAAATTTTGGCTGTGAAATTTAAATTTAAGTTGAATTAGTATGAAGTGGATTTATTTTTGAGTTGTAAATATATAAACAAGTTTAGAATAAGATTACCTGATTTCAGGGTTTAGCTAATTTGATAGCATTAGGGGTAAGACCACATCTTCTATGTCTAAGAACAATAGTTTCTCTCTTTCATGCGGTGCACGATTATGAAACAAAAACAATCGTAATTCTATTCATGAAAAATTATAATAAACAATAACGTTATTTGAATTATTAAAAATTAGTATTATATGCGATTTACTAATTCCAAATGGCATGTGCGTCACATGGGTTGAATAGTTCTCTAATTGCGTATCGGTGCTTTTGGTTATTAAACAATATATGGAGACTCATCTCTGTCAAACTTTATCCTTTCAATTCATATAATTAGTTAAGGCCCCGTTGGAAATTGTTCTTTGTAATCTTTGGTTTTAAATGTTGCTTTTAAATTGAAATATGCTTTATTCAAATAAAATTAATTAAGTTTTTACTTTAATTTGAAAATATTTCTATTTTATTTTTTAAATTTTTGTTCTTTTTATATTTTTTTATTAAGTTTTTGTTCAATTATATGAGTTATGTCTGTTGTAATTATATTTCTTGTAATTTTAACTTTTTTAAATTTTGAAGTATTGTTAATTAGAAAAAAAATATTTAATTATAATTTTTTGAAAATATAGAATAATAATAATTACCATTTTTATTAACTAATTAATATTATTATCATTAATTAAAAATCACCGTTGTTAATATAATTATTTATTATTATAATTATCATTATTATAAATTTTTTATAATTTTACTATTAATATTATTTATTATTATCATTATTATTATTATGTCATCGTTGTTATTTATTATTATAATAGTTATTATTATACTATACTTATTATCTTTATTATTTTTACCATCACAAATCTACTCTCACTATAATAAGTTTCTTTCTTTCTCTTGCCTTTTATACTCATTATTTTTATTATTAAATAAATTTGAATTAAAAAGTAAAAAATATTTTATGTTATTTAAATATGAAAATTTGAAAATTATAAAACAAAATAATAACTACAAATTATAACCTTAAAATTGATGACTTTATTAATAGTCTAATATAACCTCTCTCTCTTTTTTTAAGTTTATGCTTTAACTAACTGAATTTAGGTGACATTCTTTTGCCAAAGTATCATCTATGATCCTAGCAGCTAATAATCATTTTTAATTTATAGATATCCCTAATAGTTTCCTATGTCTATTGTCCGTAACGAAGAAGTTAAATATTCACTTAATGAATAGCAAAAAAAAATATTCACTTAATGAGTTTGAGTTTAAGTATAAATAAGTATTCACAAAATTTGATGAAAATAGGTACATATATTTTACCCTTAACCCTAAATTTTAAACATACATTATATATATATATATATATATATATATATATATATATATATATATATAAAGTTTTGAATTAATAATTTTACTGAAATTTTACACATATACTATATTATAATTTGATATTTTATTATATTTTATTTAACATTATACAAATTATTTTGTTTTTAATATTGTACTTCATTTTATGTATTCTTTTAATAATGCTATATACTTCATAATTGTGTTTTATTAGTTTACAAAAAAAAAAGTTAGAAAATTCATACTTCAACGGATGATACATAAAGTATAATAATTCAAATATTATAAAGTATGCATATGAAAATTAAAATTATTATTTCCACAAATATAAAAATAAATATAAGTGTTTTTTTTTAAAATACACATAAAAGAACTAATATAATATTATCTTATAAGTTGTATTTTAAGCAATGTTACCATCCATGTGATATTTTTTATTTTTTATAGAAAAATATATATTATTAGAGAAAGTCTAAGATGAACTCAAAACTCATATACACAGAAAAAAAAACTAACACTTATATAGAAAAATAAAAAGATAAAAACATACTCATGCTAAATTAAAGTAGATACAATTTCGTGTGTTTAGATAACAATCAGCAAGCAAAATAACTTATTCCTTACTAACAAATGATAATCACTTTCAAGACCTTAGAATAATAGAATTTAGAACTTCATTCTCATCCAAAACATCATTAAAAAAATATCATTCTATTTTTATATAACTACAAAAACACATTATACTTATCCAAATAATTAATAAACATATATCTTCTCTTTTACCGTAATCAACATCAATCTAAGTAAGCAAGTGAGTTAATAAATTTAAAGATAAAACTAACAAAAACTTAAACCAATGCGCAATAAAGTATCAAATATTTTTATCTCTCACAGCTTTTCTTTTTTTATTTATATATAATGTCATTTACCATTTTTATCATTTCTTTTTCTCTTCTTTTTATCTATCTCTAATCTTGTGTTTGAATGGCGTGCTTTTAAGAAAAAATAAATTAAGAGGAACGATTTTGTGTTAAAAGGTAAAATATTTATTTGTTGGGATATTTTATATAAACCTTTTACTTTTCCTCATCTATATGAAAGGAATAGTAAAGAGGGGCTCCAATTTTTCTTTGTTCCTTTTATTTCAGTGTTAAGTAATTTTTAAATAATATAAAAAATATTTAAAAAATACAAATGTTAAATAATATTATAGCCAAAAAGAGTTTAAAATTTTCATCAATTTTAATTATGTATTATTAAAAAAATCATATAATTTAATTTTTTAAATACTTTTCACTCATCTAAATAAGTAAACTGATTTTTTTTCTACTGCTTTTTCTCTTTTTTTTTTTTTTTACTTATCCAAATAATATATCTTTTCTTCTTTATTTCTCACCATCTTATTTATTTTCACTTTATTTAATCTTCTCATCCAAACAAAGCTTTAAGTCTCTAAACTCTAAAAATTATTCATCAAACATCAAAATAATTTATTAAATACTTTATTCTCATCATCATCATATATGTGTACAGAAACGCCTTTTAAACGAAAATCTATATTTATTATTATTGTCTATATCGCCTCTTAAATTTTTACTCTTAAAAAAGTTAATATTGGGGTTCCGCCCCCATCAATGAAAATTGAGTAGCTGCCACCCATGTTTTCTTATTCTGGTTTGGTCAAACTATTAATGCACGATTAAGTTTGCCAAACAGGGTTGATTTGTACAGTGGAAAGTTGTGAGAAAGTCCCCACAATTCTTTTTCAAAATGCGAAAATTCATTGATATCATTTTCTTGTGTTGATTGATGATAACTCCCACATGCTCGCAAAATCCCTTTTCGCCCAAACACTCAAGATCCCTGTCCCATGCATATTGAAAACTCTAATTGTTGTTAGTTCCCAACTTGCTGGGTACTTTTAGTTAAGGCCAGAATATTAAAAGGAAATGCTTTTCAGTTGGACGCTGAAACTTCAAAAATCATAACTCAATATTTGTCTCCTCTGTTTGTTTTCTTCTCTTTGTTGTTTTCTTATTTTTTATTTTGCAAAAGGCAAACGACCACAAAATGAAACTTGTTTATTTTAAGAAAATGTTTTACATCATCATCACTATTTGTTCTCTATTTTTTATAGAAAATAATAAAATGATTTATATTATTTTTAAAGCAATTCTTCAGGTCCTTGATATTGCAGAGGTTCAACTCTTTGATCCTTAAAAGTTTTTAAAACCCTTCATCGGCCCCTTCTCTTTGCAAAATGATGTTTACTTTTTAATTCTGTTTTGGATTAAAATAGACAAATCAAATATCATTACACAAAATCAAAGACTAAGGAAGAGTTTCTAAACTTTCAAGTACTTAAAATGCTTATCCCATTCAATTTCAAATACAATTTGGAAGTTGACTCTTAATTTTACTATTTATAATACAAACTGTTAAAAATAAAATATAAAATAAGAATCCAAGTAGATTCCATTTTCACAGTTTTGTAAATTTAGAAATCATATTGCATGCCCCATAGTTAAAAGATAATTTATTTAATTTTAGCGTGGAGATTAAGATGCGAAAAACTTTGTACTTGGACTGCATAGGGAAAGTAACGTCACTGCTGAAACATTGGCCAAGAAGGGTGCCATGGTTGGAAGATCATTTGGGATCCTACATGATCCTCCTTTGAGAATGGCCTCTCACTTGATTGAAAAGAAAAGAAAAAAATCATTTTCATAGAGATTCAGATTCTTCAATTCCACTTTCGCTTAAATAAAATTGTAAGAAACCATGCAAAGTCTGCTCAATTAAAAATAAAACTGAATGTTAAATTTCTGACACAACAGAAGATAATTCGTAACCTTACCTTGGAGCACTGTATTCTTCCCTTCAAGGGAAAGAAATACAAGATTTGAGTAAACAAGGACGCCAAGCTATATTACCTTGGATTAGAATACTCGCACATATAACCGTTAAAATAGTTATAGTCAGGGAAAGTGTATTATCTTTTCTATATCTACTGTCTCTTCTCTTTAACTTGTTTTTATCTAAAATACCATTCTTATTAGTAGTTGATCAATAATAATAAGTGTTTTAAGAGAAAAATTATTTAGATAGAAGTAATAATAGACATACGAGTCACACATCATTCATAGTTGGATCACAATATTATTCATTTACTAGCTCGATAAGACTAGGAAATGTGCACACATAATATCAGAATATCTAGAGTTCAATACATCATCTACACAATAATTGGAGGAGAAAAAAGTAAAACGGAAAGAAATATGACTTGAAGTAGAAAAGAATATAAAATAAGAAAAGAATAGAAAATAGTTCAAATCATCTCAAAATGTGAAATAATCTTCAACCAAAAGAAGAAAGCATTAACCAATCAATAAAAGAGTTCATATACTTAAAAGACAATCTTGATATTATATTTTATGCACATGAAAAAAAAAGGGGGATACAAAATCACGATTATAATAATATAAGAAAAATAATTTTAGACACGCTATTTGAAATAAAAAACAATGGTTGAGAATACAAATCAATGCAATATCATAATTCCCGCTGGTATAGTAATAATAATACCGATTAAATCATCGCTAATGCGGCCACATGAGTCATTTCAGCCAATACATTTTGGCAAAAGAAAAATAAAGAAGGAAATCAGATAAATCATAGCGACCAAATTGGTTTTGCAAACAAAACAAAGCACACCAGAAAAACAGCTCCTGCTATGCTATACTAATAATACTACGGGACCAGCATATGGTTCATTACAACCGATGAGTCTCAAATTGAAAGTAGTGCAAAATCTTCAAAGGAAACTAAACTAGTAAAAGAAACCAAGAACTTTGCCACCAACATTCTTTCTCCTAGCTTCTTCATGATCCATGATACCAGCAGAGGTAGTCAAAACAATATACCCAAACTGCATCATTTGTGTAATCAAAGGTCAGGGCCAACAATAGAAACTACATGTAATCAAAGTCTCCACGTGTACCAGTATGATTAAAAATTTTATACAGCATGTTATGTCATATCAGTGAAATCTAAAACAGAAGAAACATTATACCAGAGAAATGCATTGATTGTAACATGAATCTACGGCATGTTGTCATCACATTATATACAAATATAAGTCAGACACAAGAAAGTAAGTAAGGATTGCAAAACTAGAGGCAAAAAACCAACAACAAAGCTTTATCTTATTCCAGGAGCTGAGGTCAGTTACATAGACCATACAACACCACAGGACTCATTCAAAACTTGAAGTCCAGAAATTTAGTTACCATAAAGTCCATTTTGATGATAACCTAGAGGCAAAACAAGTATTAAAAATTTCCCCCTCATTTAGGACTGTGCACGTGCTCTTTTTGTATTTTGCGAAAATTTGATATGAAAATCATAATTTGGATTGGGGAATTAGTTTAGTAACCCTTATGGCCAAGGTAGTTAAAATCGGGATTTTACTTTAAATCGTAAAGGAGAGTGAAAATCGTAAATCGTAAAATCGTAAATTGAATCGTAAGATTTTATAAAATTCATATATATGATATAAATTCATATTATTCATATAAAATATCATAAATTAAGGGAAAAAAACTTCAAATCAGTAAAAGTACTTAAATAACGTAGCACTCACAAATCATAATTTATTCCATAAGAATGTAATGCATTTACATGAATAAAAAATAGACCAGAACAAAAAAGATGCTAGAACAACAACAATAGATTTAGTTGCAGACCAGGTTGCACGCACTAGGAGGACTGTTGAATGTTGACAACAATGTTAGGATTCAAAGCTGCTAGAGGCAAATTAGATTCCATAAAAAGGAGATATATGAAAGAGGCGTACGATAGGGTTCAACAAAATAGACTTTGCGGAAATTTTCAAAATCGAAGTGAAATCATCAAATCCCACAATTTGAGAGATTTTATGATTCAAATCGGGATTTTACAAGGATTTTACTCAATTAGGATTTTATCCACGATTTAAATCGGTGAGACTTCCAAAATCGTAAAATCATAAGATTTTAAGATTCAAATCGGGATTTTAACTACCTTGCTTATGGCAAAGGCTGAATTCAAGGCTATACCCCCCAAGTACCTAACTCTTAATATACTGAATACCCATATGGCACAACTTCTGAAATGCCCATGGCCATGGCTTAAATGCAAAATTTGAATGAAAAGGAAAATTGATCATCATGACAGCTTTTCATAATTCGTACTTTTATCAGCCGAAATAATTGGGCCATTTCACTTCTCAAACTCCTTACATTAAAGTCTAGTGAAATTTTAAAACAGAAAATAAGACCTTTAGAAGATGATTTATCACAAAGTTGGGACGATATAATTCATATAGGTATTTTATTTTACTTGTAACTAGATAGATAGATATAAATATAGATATATATACATAAAAAAAAAAAAAAAGACTTTTCAGCTAACCTGTCTTGAGGGGAGCAACCTAGCAGTCCAACCTTCTATCTCTTTGACACCCACATCAAAACGGGGACTAATAACCCCACATTTGTTCAGTCTACCATTCAACTCAACAACAATTTTTCCAGCTCTGTGATCATCAACATACTCAAACTCTCCAATGTACCCTAGAAAGCACCAAAGCATACCAAATCAAGAAAAATAAATAATTACAGAGGCAATAGTAATCAAATTGAGGTATCATTCAAATGAATAAATAACGAATACCATGCTTCTGCATCACCAAAAGGAATTTTATAATCACTTTTGAGGATGGCCTAATCATGACCTGGCGCTTCCCCCGCTTCTCAGCATTGTACATGCTCTTCAGAGCATCATTCAAGACACTAACCCTCACCATTGTCACTGTTACCAATTTCACAAGCTTTAACAACACGGACATAAACCAAGATTTTGCCAACGAAAAAGCAAGACGATTTAACAACAAACATGATCACAACAGAAAGAAACAAAATAGCTAAGAATTCCTGAAAAAGACATATTTTTATTAACATGGTATACTCAAGTTGCCTATTACGACATAAAATACAATACTCAAAGATCAAAACACCAATCTAAACCCCAAATTTTGATTTTTGGATCACAAACTGCAAGATAAGAAGGATGATATAGCAAATATATGAAAACCCAGAACCAAACTTCGTTGTGAGAACCAACACACGACTGTGGTATAGGAAGCGGATCTTACCGAGGTGAAGCAGAGAAGGTTTACAAACGGCGCGGGAGCAGAAGAAAGACAACTATGCAGGAGTGAAGTATATAAAACGACCGTGTGTACGTGTGTTTAGGGTTTGGAAGCAATAAAAATGTTGTGGGCCGTCAGCAGTTTTATTTATTGGACTTTCTGCACTTTCGTGGACCATACGTGAGTGTCCAATTGCCCTTTTTTTCACGAACAAAAACATTTGGAAAATTTTCTGAAAAGTTTTGGATTCTATCGTCTTCCTTGAAAATCTACTTGTTTATTTATTGAAATTTGTAGTGATTGAATTGATATTAAAATGCATTCAAACTACTATTTTTTATTTTCAAAGATGATATGATATTATTTTTTTAAAATTAAATATATAATGACTCACTAAGATAATTATACATAATTCAAAGCGACTTTTGTAAAGCTGAAATAATTTTCAGTTACAATTTTTTCTAGTGCTTTACAATTGTTTTCTTAAAAGTCCTTTTAGCTAATTTTGTAACAATGTGTATAGTATCATGTTTTCAATGAATTCTTATAAATATTATGCTTAACAAACCTTTTTAAATAAAATCGGTAAATCCAAGCATGGTCTGTAAATTATTTTTAAGAGAATTTTACACAATTTAAAATTTCAAATCTAAATATAAGAGTCAAATTCAGGAGGAGCTACATTTTCAATATGCTAGCCTAATTTGCATAAATGAAGTATAATTCTAAAATCAATCCAATAATTCTTAAAAAAAAAACTGGAAAGGGAGATTAATTAAACAAAGGGTATTCAAGGCAGCATCAAATCTCTGATCTCAATTCTCAATTATGATGTTTCATAGTTTAAATTGAATAGTAGAATTTGACAAAAACTGTTCACACATCTAAATCAATTATCGAATATATAAAATGGTTTCCAAAAAACCTTATTCGATGGTCGGTTCATCTAACAAACTTATTTTATGATTTTGACTTGTAATAATTTATTTTTTCAATAAAATTTATTAATTATTATCACAAAATATATTATTAATTATTGCAAATTAAATTAATTTTATTAATATGTGTTCCTACTATAGAAACACCAGCCTTTGAGTCTCTGCCTGAATAGGGTAATGTCCTTCTGTATTTTGCTGACATTACGTGACGTGGAGAGAGTATCTGCAAAAGGCACTCCAATGCTGAAGTGAAGTCTTTGCTCTAAGTAGTGAATACTTCTTACTTTCTTTTTATAGGAGATATTATGGACTAATAGGCTTTGTGGGTCAGCCTGATCCTGATAATTAATTTATAATTAATATGCTTTGTGAAGTACTTAAAAAATATTTTTATAATTAATAATTAATATTTTAAAAAATACTTGAAGAGAGTTATTAACACCATAACTGGTGAGTTTGCAGGTGGAGAACTCACTCATTCGGCTAGAAAAAGACATCTCAAGCAGGTCCACTCTGTTAATAAAGTTTCGTTAGGCAGCAGAATCCAAATCTCACCTATCACATTCAATATGCACATAGCATAAAAATCAAAACTAATTTTAAATAAGCTAACTATGAAATTGACTATAAAAATAAATTATAACAAACTAATTCTAGTTCGCAGTCAAATTTAGTACTTTTCACATAATACTTTTTATTATTATTAAACATAAATCTCCCTATTTTGCGGATATTTATAATGTGTTTGGATGGGGAAATGAAGAGAAGTGAGAAAGAAATGAAAGTAGATAAAGAAAAGATGTATGTTTAGACAAGAGAAAGGGAGAAAGAAAAATAAATATTTTAAAGTAGACTTAATATAAAAAAAATTCTCTAAAATAGGAGGAAGCTAGAGAGCAAAGAAGGGTAAACTGAGAGATTTTTTTTATTAATAAATTTTTATTACAAAATATTTATATGATATAAAAAATTAAAATATTTTTTTTATTGAGAAAAATATTATAATAAAATTTAGAATTTTTTAAAAATTATTTTTATTTTTATGATGACTTTGAATATAATTTAAATATTTTTTATATTTTTAATCAGCCAAACAAGTTAAAGATTTTTTTTTCTTTTCTCTTATTTTATGACATTCAAAATCAACAAACAATTTTCACTCTATTTCTACTGTATTTTTCACTCTTTTATGTTTTTCTATTTCAGTCATCGTCCAAACATAACCTTTAACATATCTTAAACAAGTAAGCATTGCTACAAAATCATTACAACAGAAAACCTTAAAGACAAAATTAAAGATAACATACTACACTAAAGAAAAATTAGACTAATCACGTGTCTCTGCAGGAGAAAATGATATGGTACTGGACATTCTTTGAATGTTTTATGCTTAAAATCCCAAATCCTTGTTTAATCCAACATCAAAGAGTCACTGATATCTGATCAATGGACTTACATAAAAGTCACAGTCAACAAATGCTGTTTAAAGTCATGACTCTTTCACATTGAATTATTTCATTAACAACACCAGATTTTCTTTCAATGTTGATTTCAATAATTGGCATTTTCTGGTTGTGAAAACAACCTTCACTTGACATGCTTGATGAACCAATTCAACATGTCATCATGAGCCTCCTCTGCACTCTTAACAGCTGCTTCATCATCAACATTATACCGCACTGTCCATCCATGAGTAACACCAGGGTATAGTTTCACAAAACTTTCATACTGTTTAAAAAGCATAAACAATTTGGAGTCAGTAGTGCACATATATTTTGACAAGGTAACAGCAGAAACTTGAGAATGTGATGACACTAATCTTTTTGGGAAGATGGAATTTATTTGCTCTTTAAAAAACAAAAAATATAGCTCAAAAATTGAGAACACTGGTACTTTATTTGTGTTGGACAATTTTCTAAGACTAACAAATTTCAATACCTCAGGATTTCATTGTAGCTGTTTCATCAAAAGTTGGAAATTTTGTACACGGTTTAAGTTTTGGGATATGTTTATTGTAATTCCTAGATATCTATTTTTACTCTCATTTTAGCTTTGTTTGAGAGTTTGGAAAGAGATGGAAAGAAAGGATTTGAAAGGTAAAAGAAAAAGAAGGAAGATTAATACAAAACTCTCAAATTGGAAAAAGTTAAAAATATAAAATTAGGAGGGTTTATAAATTTTTTCTCTCTCATCTAAAAACTCTCAAAAAAACAATAACCATCAAGCCTTTTCTTTCTTTCTCCTTCCTCTTAAAAACCAACTCCAAACAAAGTCTCAAGTAACTTTTGTATATTATTTTGCAAAAAAAAAAAAATATCTTAAACAGAAATTGGTAATGGCAATAGATACTCACTAAGTTTTGATGAAACATTTTTTTAAAAGGAATTCTTATCAGGAGAATCAACAAAGGATTACCACAGAATTTCTCACCTCTACTTTTGCAGACAAAAATTCTTCAACTTCCTTTAGCTTTTCTGGTGGGAAATGATTGTCAATTTCAGCTCCCAATATAGCAAGAGGAACCTTGACCTCTGAAGAATAGTTAAATAAAGTGTATCAACAATGCTATAATCATTTATTTAACTAGAAAATTGAAAAGCATAAGTTTACCATTAAGCTCATTTTCTGTGACTAGACCAGGGTGTAGAATAACTGCGGCCTGAATGTCACAGGAAATTGCCATTTTCACAACCACAATCCCTGAAAAAACAAAAACAAAAACTACTAAGTTAAACTATTTCACATCCTTTATTAAAGGGATTTTTTTCCTTTAACTGATAAAATGAAGTTGACTAAGCAAAAAAATGAGTCACCTCCCCAGCAAAAACCAGCAGCCCCTATGGCTTTAACACCTAAACTCTTTAGAGCAGCAATTATAGGTTTAGTATCTTCACATGCCTTATCCTATAAGGAAAACATACAGCATATTTGCATAAACATGTTATAGCAAAATAAAACCTTATGCAATCCAACAAATGATGAGGCTGAAATGGTTTCATATGAATCGCAAAATTAGATATAGAAAAGGAATAACAAAATTGCATCTGTGAGCATAAACTAACCGGTCTATGAGCTTTTCGCCACGCTTCTCGATCGAATTGAGGATTATCAAGATCAAAATAATCACCATAAAGAAGATCAGGAACAACAACCAAGAATCCAGCCGCTGCTACTTTGTCCGCAAGTTTCCTTTAAAATGAGAGAATGTCAAAACTCATTGCAAATAGTTTAGAGGTAGTCAATCTGATACAGTGTGCTGATGCATTGAAGCCTAACAATAGCTAACTTGGGAGGCATGTTTGTTGTTGCACAAAACTTGGTCATTCCTTAACAATAAAATAATTAATCAGTAGTTTCAACTTCTGTTAATCTTGTGCTAGCATGCTAGTTCAATGAGTAAATCATCAGAACAAGGGGTTCAATATTTACATTAATATGGTGTCCAAGTGAGCCACGGTAGTGAAATTTTCATTTACCTTAGATTCGGTGCTTCATACCCTGAAATAATTTCAAAACAACTTAGAATTAGATTTATAGTGCAAGCATCATCATAATGTGTTGGTTTTCAATCAATCTTGAAATACCTTAACTTTCCTTGATCCAAAGTATAAGCATGGATGAAAAATATGAGTGAAGTTTTATAAAATCAATGCAGATAGTGGTGGAAAACACATCACTCATAGGCTCAACTATTAGGGATCTTTGTGATTACATTTTTATCGTTTTAGGAAACACCCAGATTCAGGATTATGTCTAATTTGAGAGCAACCATATAGTTGAAAGAATATAAATGATAAATCTAAAATAAGATTAGAGTAAAACAAGTTCAAAGATAAAAAATTGGAGATGGGTTTATTACCAAATACATCAGAAACTAGGATGAGTGCCAAATTGGAATCAGGAGATCCAGTAACATAGGATTTAAGTCCTCCAAGTTCTTGGACAGTGCCAACTCCATGGATACCCGAATTCAGGTTAGGTGGGTTTTGAAAACACTGAGGACTTGACATGGCTAAAATATGTTAATGATGAGTGAGTGGCTGCAACGAGTGATAGTTACTACTTACTACAGTTGTCCGAACTTTATACCAGCAAAGAGAAGTGAGACTACAAATATTTAACGAACCGATGGAACAGTTGACCGAAAATGGCGTCATCAATTACGTTCATAAGCATAATAAGAACGTCACTGAATGCGTCATAAAATAGTTTTTTTTTACCGGATAAAATTTAAATACAATTTCTTAAGACATTGTTACTGTTATTTCTTAAGACATCGTTCATCTTGCGACTAAAAAAATGTGACGATGAAGGTGTTGCACCGTACCAATCGATGTCAAATTCATATACGAAATCGAAATATAATATAGCTAATCATTGTTAAATCCACTTCCACAGTAGATATGACAAAAGTCACAAACCTGGAACTTTAGGAATATGTCTCGATCCCAAAATTTAAGAATGGGCTTATTTATTTATAAATAATTTTTTTTTATGAAAAATTATGCAAAAGAAAAATTGGAACAGAAAGTAAAAGGGAGTTTCGATTTTTTTGTCATTGAGGAAAGAAATTGGGGTTAGAGAAGGGAATGTGAAAAATTGCTTGACAACTTTTGAATCCTGTTCATAATATATATGTCTTGGTAGCTTGTGTGAGATATAGAAAACATATCACACAAGCAACAAATGTTGAACAGGCCCATCAAGAAATGTTGAATTGGGTTTACGTATATCAAATGAACTTCAAATTTGTTTGTGTAGTCCAATAACATTTTGACCAAAAACATAATATTCATATTTTCTTTTTCTTTTAATTCTTTTGTCCTTTCATCCGAATGAAGGCTTTTTGACTGATATTTTTAATTATTTACTTAAAAATGTAAAATAAATAAATAAATTTGTCTGTGGCACTTTTTATCTCAACCAGTGTCGTTTACTAAAGAGATAATATTTATTTAAAGAAACAAAATGAAGTTATTCAATATTAAGGCGATACACACTTCTTGATTTATAGACGTCGCAATAACACATGCAACTGTATTGCCCACAATGTAAGCAGTACTTGATGAAAGGTAAGGTGTTAGCATCCCAACTTTTCAAGGACAAATTTAAATTTTAAATTTATACAAAATACAAATTTTGTTTGTAGTGATCACTTTTACGTAAGCAATTTAAAAAAAAAATATTTTTGTTGTGCAATACTTGCTGACAATGTTAAAAAGATATTTCAGACAGATAATTTTTTATAAATATTTAAAATAAAAACATTTTTTCTAGTCAAAAGCTTACAAATGATTGTTGAGAGCAAAGACGAGTGGTTTATGAATTCAGAAGGCAGATTGTTGTCAAACTTCAAGTTGTTCCCTAGAACTTGGTATTGAAGCATGAGAGCTCCTGACCATAATTGCTCTGTTACTGCTTCTAGTTTGGATAAGCTAAATGGGGCATCAAATTTTTGTTTCTTATTCTTGTCAGAATCTATACATCTAGATCCTGGCTAGTGCCTTTCATTAGGTCACTTGTTTGTTATTTTTTATAATATAGTTCAATAATATGCGCTTTTTAAATAGTTGCCATGATGGCCAAGTTATTCTAATCATTAAATTAAAGTCTGTTTTGATGTATATATAATTTTCTTTTTGTCACACTTCTCTTTCGATCTCTTGCCAAAGGTGAACATCAACTAATCTAAATCACAAGTATGAAAAAAAAATCTATTTAAATTACGTAAAATTGTTATAAATGATAAAACTCTTTTATTTATTTAATACAATGACATTTATCAAGACTCAAATTTAAGATTACATATTAATTAAAACAACTTTCTATTGATTGGGTTGATTTATTTGCTTGCTTGATGACAATGCCTATCTATTGAACGCTAAATAGATTAAAATACACTTTTTATAAATTTTGATAAATATTTCTAAAAAATAAAGAAATAAAATAAATTAAAATCTTCTTAAAAATTGCTTTGTGTATACTACTTAAAAAATTATTTAAAAAATACGTAATTTAATTTAGTATTTATAAAAAAATTATAATTTAGTCTTTATATAAATAAATATTTTTTTATTAGTTATTATCATTTAATAACATGTTTCCAATGTAATATAGAACAACAACAAAAAATATTCATATAAGAACTAAAATGTACATTTCAAAGTTTAATTATACTTTTTATTTTTATAAAAGTAACATAATTTAAAATAAGTCTTTAAAAATGTGTTAGAATTTAGTTTGTAACACTTTTTAAATACAAAGATTTAATCTTTTTTATTAATTATGCTTTGTTAAATAATGAGTTGAATAATAAATATCTAGCTCATCATTACCACATTATAGTTATTTTTTATATTTTCTTATATCAAAATTAATTTTTTAAAAAAAATTCTAAAACTATTTGTATTATTTTAAAATTTTAATAATTAATTCAAATAATATTTTCTTACTCCTCTCTCTCCAACTTAAATCCCTTTCTTTGGGTTGTAAAAATCTAACATAAACTCAAATTCTCATCATTCTGAATTTCACGTTCCCCTCTCCTTTTCACCATAACACCCTTATTTCTATCAACACTAAAAGAAAATCACTTCAACAATCCTTTCGTTTTTCACTTTTAGATTGCCTAGAAGAAGAAAGTTTGTTATACGTGTCTCTAGAGGATGAGGTTGTGAAATTAAGAGCTCTTAAGAAGAAGTTGAAGGATCATGCTGACAAAATTGTAAGGTCCAAGTGATCATTGGTTGATATAAAGGGAAAGACCAATTCCTATAAAGACTAACGTAAACAAATTATTGAGTAAATTTTTACTATAGTTTCTAAAATATGCAGTGTAGTTTAAATCAATCATTTAAATTTAAAATTTGAAATTAAAAATTGTTAATTATATTAGTCTTTGTTATTAATAGATATTAAAATTGAGTAATGAAGTAATGATTTATTATATTAAATGATATGTGATTGTACATTCTAATTATAAAATAACGTTATTTTAGAATATTTCAAAATAGATCATTTTCGTCACTAACTTTTGAAATTTCTGCTTCACCTTTTTTCCTGACATCTTATTCCTTTCCTCTTACTATTACTGTAATGAAGTTTACACTACAAAACTTATTTTTCTCAAATTTTTCCACTTAGATCCAATTCTTAAGCTTAGAGGTTTTAGCAAAAGTCTAAAACAGATTAGATGAGGAGGAAGGCACAGTAAGGAACCGATATTGTCGAAGCCATGAGAAGGTTTTGACATAGCGGCATTGGAGGGGTCAAGGGGTGATGGGTTTAGAGAGAGTGTGAGGTTTGGATTAGGTTGATAAAAATGTATTTGAAGGTGATTTTGGTAGATGTAGTTATATATATATAAAGAGAGAGAGGAGATTGAGGAACGAATCTTAGATTGGTAAGAACTTGAACTTGTTGAATTATGTTTGAGAGAGAAAATATGATATTTTTAATTGAAGAAGGGGAGAATTGTGGAAAAAGAGAAAGAAAGTGAGATTGAGGCTATTACAGCGGAAGACAAATTAGACTTCATGGAAAAAGTGAATGACATAGCAACGATGGCTGAGAGAAGGAAAGAAAATGTCATGGAAGAAGGCAAAACAATAGATGAGACAGGAACCTTATTCTCAAAAATTTTAAAAATTAGAAATAAAAATGACTTAGTTTTGAAATATTTTTAAACGATATCATTTTGTATTCATAAAGGACTGTCAAATGTTACTTAATGTGACAAATTATTACTCCGATACTTAATTTTAATGTGTTGTAGTGACAAAAATTATTGTGATTGACAATTATTAATTTAAGTGATTAAAACTTTAAATTACAAATTTTGAGAACTAACTTTAGTCAAGTTGCATATTTTATGTACTAAAGTAAGGATTGTCCAAAAATTATTACATGTCCATGTTACAATAAATTAGTAATTATCCAAGCTTATTTACTCAACTACCTCAAACTAAGCTAAAGTCATTATCATATATTGATTTATCACGCATCTAACACCTACATTTTAGTTATAGAGACTAAATACATCGAATGATACACAAATTTTAAGAAGAAAAATTAAAAACCATGAGAATTATAAAGATCAATCAGAGTACACAATATGTCCAAAGTAACATCATTACTACCATAACAAAAGAGTGGTGGTGGATCCTCATTATTAGTCATATTTACTGAAACCATATTATCATTTCTCTCCTTCGACTAGGATCTTCTTTTAGGTTATAGGGAATTCTATTTTAAACTCATCATATAATTAAATAAAGAATAGATTGTGAAGGTGAAAGATGTTCTTATAAAACAATGCAGCCAACACCAATAAAGAAGAAGAGGAATATTGTCAACACAAATAGAGAAGAAGAAGTTAAAGATGTTTAAGGACTTTTTGGAATAATTTTAAAAATATTTATATCAATATAAGTATTTTTAAGAATTTTTTATAAATATTAATATTTAAATAATAAAATATTAAAAAATAACATTATAGTAATAAATTAAAATTTTATTATTTAGCTCATCATTTAACAAAAAATAATTAATAAAAATAACTAAATTCTTACATTTTAAAAATGTTAGGAGATTAGATCCTAACAAAATTTGTTAAGAACTCATCCCAAATGATATACTTTTATAGAAACTAAAAATAAAATTAAGTTAATTTTTAATTATAAAGACTAATTTATAAATAAGTATTAACTATAATATATATGTATATATTATAGTTAATTATAATTATTTAAAAAAAATATAAAGCATCAAACTTAATTAAAAAATAACTTGTGTTATAACTTCAACTTATCTTTAGAGCATATATGATTTTTTTATTAATAAAAGATTTACATTAGAATTTTATTTTTAATTCTTTTGATTAAGTTTAAGCATCTAAAAGTATAATTAAAATCAAATATTTTAAAAAATATTTAGAAGAAATATAAACTTATATAAGTCTGTTTAAAAAATAAGTACTTAGTCTCTTAAGTTTTATAATTTTTAATTTGATGTCTCTTTTTTTTTATACAAGTCCGTAACTTTTTTATTATAGTATATATTTTATATTCTATATTTGACA